GAAGGGAAGGGAAGGGAAGGGAAGGGAAGGGAAGGGAAGGGAAGGGAAGGGAAGGGAAAAGAAAAGAAAGAAAAGAAAAGAAAAGAAAAGAAAAGAAAAGAAAAGAAAAGAAAAGAAAAGAAAAGAAAAGAAAAGAAAAGAAAAGAAAAGAAAAGAAAAGAAAAGAAGAGAAAGTCACTGGTCTTGGAAGAGGGTCAGAATATCTGTCTCGCTAACCCCCTAGGACTTTCAAACAACAGAAGATACAAATCCTCCAACTCATCCCTCTGCTTGGTTGTCCTTCCTCCACCCACTAGAGTCCCAAAGCTACATGTTCTGGGACAGACAAAAGTCTGTTTTGTTTTGTTTCATGAATAAGTAGCTGTTTGGTCACCAGGATTACCAGGCAGCTGTTATTTCAGCCTGGCCCACGCCGCTCCCCCGGGGGAAAGCGATGCGGCTGCTGTCACTGCTGTCTGGTCCCGCGCGCAGAGGAGCCAGGGCGGCCTCTGAGCATTCCTACGGAGCAGGTGTCCAGTCTCTCCCCAGATGAACAAACATCAAACGTTCTCAACTTACAAGCAAGCTCAAGAACAAAAATATCACCGTCTCACACAATGTTTGGCCCATGCAAGAAAGGTGACGTGGTTGAAGTCATGTACATCATGTTTAAATATCATACTCGAGATCTAAAAGGCGAATCAGAAATGGAAGAGAGCGCCTATCGCAAAAATCCTTTATATCAGTTGTGGTAAAAAGTTGGAATCTCCAATAAAAATAAAATGGAAGAGTAAGAGAAGAGATAAGCATTCCCGAGTCCTATAAGTAACAGACTGTTTCTAACACTATTTATGCGTGAGAAGTTTTAAGGCACCCTGACATGAACATGGGCTCCTACAGGCTGTTTGTTTTACAGACACATTGGGAGGCCGATGGTGCCCCTGCAAGCTTTCCCATGATATCAACAGTAGGTGATTCTCTCATGCCTGTGACCTCCTTCCTGTCGCTGTCATTCAAGTCACATGACCATGACGAGACAGACCCACGGGGCTCCACCTGCTGCCTCACTGTTCAGGTGTCCATTGCCTTCTGTTATTCGCTCTGGGTCTCTTGCAAATTCCCTTCACTCACCCTACTCCTCACCTGGAATCTTCAAAATCTAATTTATAATTTGTTTTTGACCCATCCTATGCCATTATATAAACTTTCTCCTTTCATTTTCCATCCGGGAAAAATGGTTCATCATCTTTTCTAGACTAAGACACCTGATAAGCTTCATGTTTTTCTTAAGACCTAGAAAAATCAGGTCTCTCCAAGTCCCTTCTGGAGGAATTCATTTTTTTTTTTTGACCACTGGAACCACAGTATTGATTTCAGCCCAATATTCTAGGCTGAGGAAACAAGTTTTAATCTTGCTTCTATTGTGATCACTCTGGTGATAGCATCTGTCTCCGGACACGTATAATGTAATGGGTTAGAGCTCTAGTTCCGGCATCAGGAAAATGTAAGTTCAAATCTCGTTTCGACCACTTACTAACTGTGGACTTAAGCCACTTCCATTCTCTAAACATCAGTGGCGATAAAAAAACAATGGTATTCCTCAAAATGGATTACACGAGAGAATCCTCGGAAAGATTTTGCAACAGGGCCTGGTGCATAATATTCATTCAACAGCATGAATCGTTTTTTTAATGTTGATCTGTACCTGCTCTCTGGTCTCAGCAAAGTCGTCTGTCCAACGATGAGAAGGAACAAAGGCCGCAGCCTTCCTGTGCTTTCTGAGAGGCCGCCCTCCGGGTCAGGGCTTTTCAAACTGCAGCTAAGGAATCTAGCAATCAGTTTAGAAGGCCATTAGCTGGACATTTTTAAATTAGAGTAGAATGTAAAAAAATTACAGGATAGAAGACAAGTCAGAGAAAGACAGGAGAGAAGAGAATAGAATAGAATAGATCAAAGTCCATTTCGTGTTGCAGGGACTACGTGGTGATACGCATAGGAGGATCCAATGTAAAAGCATTTTTTGCTGTGTCACAGTAAGCAAAGAGAAAAAAAAAGGTTTGAAAGCTGCTGCTGTAGGCTGATGCAGAGCTATTAAATACTGTACTTAAATACGGTTTAGGAGGGACATTACTGCCCCCTACTGGGGCTATTCTTGATTTCTCACAGAGATGGGACACCATAGGTTAGCAAAGGCCTTGACTGTCATTGCCCACATGACCTCAGCCATCCTCTCCTATCCCATCTGGAGGCTCACTTGGAGGCGACTCACCCCTTGAGCTACCTCAATGCCTTCAGCAATGAGTCAAGGCAGCACTAGAAGTAGGAGCTGGTGTTCTGACCTTGAAAATAATTTTATAGCACAGCGTCCTTCCCTTCTAACCGCCCCCCACAGTCTCTCCTGGGAAACTGAGCTGAGCAGCCCCATGACTGATTCTCAGCCACATGTTATCCTTGGTCCCACCTCTGCCCCATCCCACATCCCAGCTGGGCAGAACCTTCCCAGCCCTACGCAGCCACCTGTCTCTGCTTCTCTGGGGAGACTACACCCCTTAGAGGAATGCGAACCAACTGCATGTTCTCAGAGCCAGGATGCCAGCAGCCTCCATCCTCCAACCCGCTGAGGTCTGAAATAACTGACTGGGGTTGCCATAGCCAGATCCTCAGGGGTCTCCCACCTCCCCTCCTGCTGCTCTGTAGCCCATTCTCATGCTCATCTTTCCAAAGCGCAAATCTGACCACACTCTCTCCTGCTTATAACCTTTCTGTGGCTCCCCCTCGCCCTCAGGGTGAAGGCTAAACCCCTCAGGGTCTGTCTCCAGCGCCCCCTCCAGCCTCTCCTCTCACGTCCGCTCCCTACCTCCTTGACTCGGCTCCAGCTTTGCTGAACTTGTGGCTCTTCTCAGAAAATACCAGGCCCTCTCCACCCCTGGCCTGCAGTTAGAATGATAGATCTCTTTCTCAGGACTCGGCTTAGATGTCACTTTTTCCAGGAAGCCCTCCCTGATGCCCTCACTCCCGTGCCTGAGTTAAATTCCCTCCCTGAGTCCCACACAACACACTCCGTGACTGGCTCCCAACACAGTGCTCCTCCTCCTGAATCACATTCATTTACCTAACATGCCCCTTCCCTCTCCCTGAGGTGGGACGCGCATGCCCAACTTGGCACTGAGCAGCACAGACTCTCCTGGCAGGGAGGGCAGCCCTTGGCACGGGGAAAGCACTTTCCCCGTTTCCCTGGCTGCTCCAGGAGGACAAGAGTGGTCTGTCTTCCACGCTCCCTGCCACTTGCCAATCTTCTTATTTTCACATAATGCCCGCCCGAGCCTAGCTGGGCACTTGCCTTGACAACAGCTTCTAGTTTGAGTTTAGTGGATTGTTTTGTTTTCACTGCATTCGTTTTTATTTATAAATTCTAATATGGAAAGCAATGCAAGATTTTCTTTTATAGAATTAATTTATATCAGTAAAGGAAGTAAATCAATTTAGAAAAAGGTTGGCAAATGGCTGTCCAGGTGGCGTGCATGGCGGTAAACGCATGCATACTCACACGCACACGTGCATGGAAGCGTGAAGGTCACTGTGCAGGAGAGAACCCTCCGTTAGTGCAGTAAGTCCTCGGGGCATGAGAGGCAGGGTGCTAACCACCCGTGTGACTGGGAGAAAATCACTTTTCTGTTTCTTAGTTTAGTCGCCTGTAAAAAGAAGAGAACAAAACTGGGCCATAGAAGCAAATGATTTCATCTCCCGGATACAAATCTCTCTTCCTGCTCATACGACTTGGAAATCACTTGGCTGAAAAGGAACCCACAGGTGATTATACTTTTTTATATTAGAGATCAGAGATCTGAGGGGGACAGAGGTCAAGCAACTTACACAAGGTCACACTGCAATTTAATGTCAAATTCAAGACCTGAATCCAGGTTTCCCCACCCCGGTGATCTGTTTTTCTCCTCATTCTGAAACCACCCCCTTATGAAACACACACACACACACACACACACACACACAATATAAAACCATCTTGAAATAATGGAAAAATAAATAAGAAAAAGATAAAGGCCATATTTAACAATGTTAAATAGGGAAGTAATATACCTGGAAGCTGAGAAAATATGTTACAGGGCTTCCCACAATGCTGTAATTCCCTTGTTCGTTATGTGGGTTAGACACCAGGAGCCAGGCAGGCCACACAAGCTTAAGTGAATCACCTTTGGTTACTATACATGTATAATAAAACCTGCTTATGAAGACCAGATCCGATCACCACTTCACCCTCTGTGGGTCATGAAAAACAGCTTCCTCAAGATTTCAAGGGGGATAGTCACCCACATTTTTTAAATGGAATTTTTAAACACTTTTAAAACTATCTCAGCAGAGCAATTTGCATATAGGATGTAGTCCCTGCAATGACACAGTGCAGTGTTTTCCTCTACCCTTGTCTTTGCAAGTGCGCTGAACATGTTTATCGCTGAGCTGGTTAGAAGCAGACTTACCAGATTTACAGATGAACCAAAGTGCACAGAATCAAAACATTTTAACCAAAATTCCCAGTGAAATGTAAAATGGGTAGATCTAATGGCCTTCACGTAAATATATATGTATGTGTGTATATATAAATTTCATATGTAGCAATTGAGAAAGATCTGGTCAAACTGACGGTCATGTGTGATGTTTCACTTGATCATAAGCCCACTGTGAGCCAATAGTAAAATGTGGTGGCTCAGGGAAAAGTAACATCCTAACACAACGCTGAAATAACATTAAGTACTATTACATCCCTCTGTGCGCCCACCAGCTGATCCAGAGGCCTGGTGCAGTTACAGGAACCACGCCGTCAGAGTGACAGACACTGGCATCTGTCCAGGAGAGTGATGGGTCAATGGGAAGGGGAGAGGGTCTGTAACCTGAGGCAGATGGCGCATGGTCACGGCACCTGTTCGAGGGCCAAGCGAGCTTTCTGCACGTGTAAGAAGCACAGAGGCTCTGGGACGCACACACCGGGGTCAGCTCCCAGGAATGTTGCTGAAAGGTCTCCGCGTGGGAGGTTAGCCTCCTCCACAGCTTCCCTCCCCGCTTGGATTGTATGGTTTGTGGTGGGAACAAAACCACATCTATTTTACATGGTAGTGCATTAGGCCACTTCATTTCCTTCCTGGAGGAGACTATTCTGTGGAGAGTGTTTTGACAACCAAGCACGCTCCTAAGAGAAAATGAGAGGTGACTAAAGGCTGCCACGTTGATTCAATTCACCACCCGCTTCCCATCCCCACACCCCCCCAACCATATGGTTGGCCCAGGAAGCTAGAAATGAAGGGCAGAGGGTCTGGCAGCAAAATCGAAGCTGCTGGGCATCAGGCGGGCAGCCCCACGGCGGGGTCTTCTTGCGTGTTCCCACAGTTCAGGGCGAGGGTGACCCACCTGCGTCAGGGTCACAGGAGTTGCTCATTAAAATGCATGTTCCTGGGCGTCTCCCAGACCTACTGGGTCAGCACTATGGGGGCAGGCAGCTCCTGAATGGCCCCAGTGATGCCCGCCTCCCGGGATGCACACCCTCCCTTTTCGTGTGGGCTGGACCTAGGGACTCTCTTGTAAGAACAGAAAAGGCAAAAATAGGTGGATGTTGCTTCTGAGGTTAGGTCGTGCGAAGCCTGTGACTTCCCTCTCTCGCTCGCTCACTGATGAAGCCGGGAGCTTGGGCCGCCCTGGCCAACAGCGAGCAAGGCTCTGCCCCCAGCCAGCACGACATGAGTGGGTTTGAAAGCGGATTCTTCCCTCACCGAGCCTGAGAAGACTGCAGCCATGGCCGACACCTTGACCGTAGCCTTGGGAGCCGCCCTGAGCCAGGTCACTCTTGGATCCCAGCCCTACAGAAACTGAGATAATGATGCTCCCGGCCACTGCGCGTGTCATGTGGCGACAGATCTAATAGAGATGCTCTGTCAGGGAGCTGCCCTGAAATCATGACACCCAGCCTTCAGGTCTCCCCACCCCCCTCTCCCTATGACACAGGAGACAAATGTCTGTGCAAATGCAAATGGGCAATATTTAATAATATACACTATTTACACGTCATCTATGTCATAGCTTTCTAAGGCTCAATTTTTACATCCTGGCCCTTGGGAAGCTTCTTCTGGTTCTTGGGGGGGCGGGGGGAGGAGACAGGGAGCGGGGAGCCTCGGGGCAGGATGGAGACAAGTGAACCTGCCTTCGACCTCATGCCTGTGCTTTCTGGGGCCACTCTGAGGCTGTGTCTTTGGGGCTAAGAGCATGGTCATTCCCACCTGCCGGTCCCCAGGCCCCTCCACGGGCAAGGGGAGGGGTCTTTCCCTGAGCAAAGTCAGTGAGGCAGCCAAGTCCAATCGCTTGCCTCCTCCCAGCCAGTCCCTGATTTCCCCGGGGAAGGAGCAAGGCTTCCCAAGGGCACGGCTTCTCATTTTCTCCAGGAGAATCGTGGGCCGAGAAAAGTGCATTTCCGAGGCCAGCTGTGTGGAAGGACCACCGTCAACTGGGAAGGCGCTGGACCCCCAGCCGGGACTTCTCTCCGGGCTCCATCTCCCACCGCTGTGTGTCCAGCACCGAAGGAGCCCCTCTTCTCACTGTCAAATGAGGGGCTGGGCCAGGTGATGACTTAGACCCTCCAATTAGTGTCCAGGAGCCTAAGGCAGGGAGGCACTTCTGGCATGGCAACTGGTCAGAGCTGGGCCAGCTCTCCTCAGAGGGCCAGGCCCCCGCCACTCAGCCACCGCGCCCTCTCTGCGGAGCGCCCGGACGGGCTGCTGAGCCACAGGGGGCTCTGGCAGATGCTGTCCAGCCTGCTCCTGATGGTGTCCTGCAGCTCCTCGTCGCCCAGCAGGGCCGCTGCTGCCAGGGCCAGCCACAAGTACTCAGTGGCATCATGGGCATCCTAACCCCAAGGCACAGGGCAAAGAAGAGACAGCATTAGCAGCATTTCCAGGAGAGGCCTGGAGGCGGCGCTGGGAGCCCTAACGGTGTCTGCCCCACATACCTTCATCCCTCTCCTGGTTCCTGGGGGAGCTCCTCCCCTCCTCCCCAGGCACAGGGTGGCACCTTAACTAGGGTCAGCCAATCACGAAGCAGCATCCCCTAGGCACAGTGCTTCAGGAAGGTATAAATGACTCAAGCTGGCCTATCCCAGTCCCTCCCCAAGGCCTTCCAGTGTGATCTAGCCGAGAAAATGGTCCCTTACCCTTTTAGATATGGGCTTGGGCCTGTCAATGGCGGGGGGGCACTAAGGAACATGGGGAAGGAGAAGCATACAGAACCAACAGATAGAGGGAGGCAGGGAATGCATGATGGGAAACTAAATTCATTCCTGAACTTCCCTGTTATTTAAGCAAACAAACTTCCTCTTTTGCTTAATTTTGCTTAAGCTAGCTGGAGTTGAGTTCTTCCCTGGCAGCTGTAGAGCCTTTAGTTGACACAATCCAATCACGCACTTTGTCCCTGAGCCACTTGCTGGGAGCTGTGGGCAGAGGCACGATGGCTGGGGGCCTCCATGCCCAGGCCTCCCTCCCTACAGGGTGGGGATGAGGCACAGATCTGCCTCGGGTGAGACTCAACAGGGATGTCTGGTTCCCATCAACCCTCATAACTCAATAATCAACTCAGGCCAGAAACATGTCTGGCAAAGACGAAAAGGACAGCAGAGTTGCCCTGAGGATCCCCTGTGGCCAAACACAGGCGACTCGAAACCACCTTATTAAGAGATTAAGGCTTATGCTGGAGCAGACCGACCTCTGGCAAAGGGAAGCCAATGACTGGGGACAAGATTTGAGCCAGAAGTGTGAGAGAGTTTCAGGTCACCAGCACAGTCCTAGAAGAGGCAGGGAAAGCAAGCCCTGGGTTCAACTCCAGCAGAGCAAACAGGAGAATCGGGACTAAGCCGAGGCATGCTGGCATTCGAAGACCCCACTCCTCATTGTCTCAAACATAGTAACCTGTAGCCAGATTGCTCCTAAATATAGTTTACACAACTGTATAAGTGAGTTGCAATGGACTAGTTAACCTATAACATCTTGTAGACATACAGGTAAGCATTCATTTTTCTTTTTCTTTTGGAGCTTTTGTTTTGGGACTAATATATTTTCATAGGCTCTCAGGAACCAGGCAACGTGCCCATCCTACCTGACAGATAAAGTGGTCACAGGAACCAGAGCAGAGCAAGGAGGAAGAGGAGCTACTATCTGTCCTCAGAGATGGGAGGCACCTTTGAGCTCTCCATGGGGGTGAAGTGGAAGGAGCATTGGTCCCCAGTGGAGTCGGTCCCCACCCTTTGAGACGGGACTCCCCCTCAGGGACATCTCAGCTCTACCCTGAAGGCCCAGGGTCCGGGAAGAACATGGCTGAATGGCAGCTCTCACCTGACCTTAGAAGCCCTGACTCTTACCTTCAGCTGGTAGAACGTGAGTCGGCCCAGGCGACAATATACCTTTGCGTAGTACAAGGCCTCCTTGGGGGTCTGCAGCCAGGCCGGACAGAGGGACAGAGTCTTCAGGTAGCAGTCCTCGGCCATCTCATACATGTGCAGGGAGTAGTACACTGTGGCCAGACGGTGGAAGGCCACCAGCTCCTGCTTCTGATCTCCTAGGGATCGGAAGACTGAGCAAGACCCCGGCAGCCAGCACTTCCCATCACCCGTCCCCTCATTCGCTCTGCACAGTTCTGTGGAGGTCTGCTAGGGTCAGGGACTGGGCTCGGGACATGAGGAACAGAGCAGAACAGGCCCCTGCCCTCACGAGGGCTACTGTCTCACAGGACACAAACATTCCGGAAATAATCCCACAAATAGAAGTAAAATTACACCCCGGATAAGAAGACACAGCTGCCTGAGAGCGCACCGGTCAAGATTTTCTGGGATGATTCCTGAAGCAAATATTCTCCATATTACAGGTGTCACCTTCACTTGAGATTCTGGGAAATAATTATTTCCAAATTCCTGTGGGGGACGTGGTGACAAGATGAGCTTGCTGAAACAGCTACGGATTCTTTACAAGGAGATAACACTTGTCAGCTCCACACACGGGCTGTCCTGAGGGCTCTGGGCTGCCACCAGCTTGGATCTCAGGGTCTCCCAGAAGCCACAGAGACCTGCTCTCCAGTAACCCACACTAAGAGCCTCTGCTCTAGGGAGCCTAGATCTTATTTTGGTTTTGGGTGGGTTTGTTGTTTCAATAACAAAGTGGCCTTTTAAAGAGAACAAAGGCTTCCAATGGGTGGTTTGGGGGTGGGGGGGGAGTGGCATATGTGCAAGGTGGCTGTTTGATGCAATCTAAAAACATCACTTTTAAGATTTAAAGACCCAAAAGCCCAAATTATAATAGAAAATCCAAGGGAGAGATAATTCTGATATGGACAAATGCAGTCACAGGGAAGCATAAAAGGGTGGGAAACAGCTCCCTTCGGCTCTGCCCAGGGGAGGATAAAGAGTGCACCCAGAGGCAGCTGCCTGGCGCCTCCAAGGCCTCTCCTGAGATCAGCAGACAGCCCCTCAGGGGTTCTTTGCAGTAAAGAAAAAGATAGGATGAGGAGAGAGGGAGCTCCCAAGTGCAATTAGACACAATAATGTCCAGTAGCATCAACATCCCATGCCCTTGAGCATGCCCAGAAGTCTCCTCTGGCATCCTCAGGAAGACTGCACCTGCCTCCACATCTAATCCCTCCTCTGACCAAACCTGCTGTCCCTCAGGCACCAGCATTCCAAATGCAATGCAGTGGGGGCTCTTTAAAAATCTTTCTTTTAGTCTCCCTTCTTTCTCCTTTAATGACTTAGGTTGTTTCCCATGAACTTTTGTGGCAAATGCAAACTATTTTGGTTACAGGGTGAGTTAAGTTAATGGGATTCTGACCTTCATTTACATTTCAGTTCTTTGGGGGGAAAATATGCATTTGACTCACAATCAACCAATTAAACATTTAGGGCACAGTTTCTTCTCTGCAAGGCAATGCCCATGCATAGAATAAAATACCTTTTGCCCTGTGCTGGGAAGTAACACCCATGATAATCTAAGAATTAGAGCAACACAGGTCACACTTATCCAGGACGAGTTAGGTACCAAGCACTATGCTGCAGGTTTACGTGGACAATCATTGGTCTTCATAACAACTGCACGAGGTGGGTGCTACTTTTAATCCTAATTTGCCAAAGACAAACTCGAGACTCCAGCTGCTCCCTTAGCTAAGGTCTCCCAGCAGTTGGATCTAGAACATGAACCCATGCAGTCTGACTCCAGAGCCCGTGCTGTGGCGCCTTGTGGCACCTCCTTGGGGAGGCGGGGGGCGGGGGGGGGGGTCTGCCCCACCCATTCAGTGCAGGACACCTACCTGTGACTGTGCTGAGCCTGGCTGCCAGGGTGGCAAACTCCAGAGCCTTGTCGTAGCCTTCCAGGCTGATCTGCAGCTCGGTCAGCTTGTTGAAAATCCGGAGCTCGGTTCTCACGGCCTTCATCCTCCTCGCTAAAGGGACAGCCCCCGCCTGCGGAGAGAGGCATAGGAATCTTAGTCTCCCATGAATGACCCGTGTGCACCATACTCCAGGAGGCTCACGTTCTCCTGCTGGGTTGGGGGGTGGTAGCAACTGAAACTAAGGAACTTGGTCATCCATACATGGGTTTTCTCAGCTCACTCTCTCAGCCCTGGCTCTTGGTTGCTCTGACCAGATCTTAGAGGTGGAAGGACTAGAGGTCATCGGGCCTCCTAAGTTTGGGAAAACTGAGAGCAGGAAAGTTACCTCCCAGCCATGTGCTCCCTCAGCACCCACAGCGCCAATCTACAAAGTACATATGTGTGTAGGATGAGAGTACCCAACCAATGGTCATTTCTATTATTTTTATTATGACAGAATGTTAGGCAGGTCACGTCATCTCTCTGAGCCTTTCTCATCTATAAAAATGCATATGACAATGAGCCCCTCAATAGTCAGGGTCATGTTCCTTGTTCAGTGACAGGCACATAATGGGTGACTCACAAATGTTTGATGAGTGATTAATCAACTGAACAAGCAAATGAATTAATATCTGAATAAGTGAGATTTTTAAGATCAAAGAAGACAATGTTTACAACTTCAGTCAGTGGTAAAATTATGACTTTTGACATATCTGCTTAACATCTAGACATTTATTTATTAATATTATTTGTTAAATCAACTCCCTTTTATTATCTTGTCTCATTCTTTGCAGTGATGTCTGTGAAATCATGGGTTTGATGAGCTGGTGTTATACTTGATAAAAACATATTAAACAGATGTGTTTCTCCATGGACCAGCCATCTCCCACCTGCCTCCAGTGGTGCCTGGGAGCATTCTGGTACACAGATAAGTGTGCTACACACTGTGAAACACCGTGCACCTGAGAGATGCAATTATTATGGCCTCTTCTCCAAGCCTGAGAAGGACAGAGTTCATCAGCTCCTTCTTTGAGAGCCTGCCAGATTGAAGAGAGAGGAAGTATGTGGGCACGGGATGAGCAAGGTGTGGAGAAAAAGGGGCCACATATCCTACACACTCAGGGGAGGCCTGCATGATGGGCCCTACAAACTCAGAGACGAAAAGTAACCACATAGGATGGTCTGAACATAGAAATTCCTCACTGAAAGTGGGTCATAGCAGTAGTCACATCCTAGGCCTGTAGCTTCCTTGGCAAAGGACAATCTTAACCTTAAGTGTCAGGGTAATTTTCCAGACCCCTTAGGCCACATCCACAAACTAGAAGACCACAGAACTCCTCCTTGTTATCTTGTTTCTCCAATACCATCTCATGTGCTGCCAATATTATCAACTATCCTGTACCCACCAATGTAAAAGAAATACATGTCTCTCTTTTACTTTTTATCCAATCCCAGAGATTTCCCCGCTTTGCCTTCTCCTGTCCCCTTAATCTCCCATCAATGGATTTCATGTATTCCCTCATGCCTCCTCCTTTGATGCTAATGTATAAAATAAGCTTAAAACTGCCATTTTTTGGAACATTTTCTTAATCTGTGGAGATTTTGCTTCCCAGGAATTGTTATCAGTTTGGCTCAATAAACTCATAAAAATTCTCTCCAGACTTGGATGTTTTTTACATCAACAAAGAGAAGGAAAAGAAATACCAGCAAAAGAGGGGAAGGCAGGTCCAGGCTGAAGTCTATATGGCCTCTCCCAGGTTTGTGCCAGGGCCTGGCGGGCACACTGTGCGGCCTGGGACTTACCCGGTAATATTCCACCGCGCGATGCCTGTGGCGGGTCCCATTGAAGAACACATCACCTGCTTCTTCATAGAGCTTGAGGGCCAGGGAGGGCTCTTCTGGCTTCAGCGCTTTCTGGATGGCTGCCTGGGTGGGACAGAGACAACTGTCAAAGGCAGAGAGGACTTCAAGCATCCACAGGACTGGCAGGAGTGAGTGCCTGACCACCCAGCTTAACCCTCTGTGGTGTCCCCAGAATCCCAAATTGCCCTCCACACTCATAGAGCTGATAGGAAGACTTTGAGATTCTCTAGCCCAGCATTTCCCTATCATTGTATGAGAGATTACATCGGATGGCCCTAGAATAATTTTCAGCTGTACACATAACATTCTATGTTTTAATATACCAGTATTTATTTTAACGTGTTTTAAGAAAAAAAGACTATTACATCAAAACCTGTGATTTCAGATAGCATTGTTTAGTGTAAAACGCTAAGTCAACTTGAAGTTAAATCAGAAAAAAATGAGTATATAGTGATATAAAGAGTACACGGATACGGCAAAACTGTGAACTGTTCATATTAATGACTGAACTTCCAGATGGAGAAACTGAGGCTCAGAAATATTAAGAAACCTCTCCACATTCACGTCAGTGGTTAGTGGCAAACAAATGCTAGTGTCTTCCAGCCCAACACCCTTCTCCTAGCCTCCATGACCTCTTTCTCTCTAGCAAGCTAGTCTATATTGCATCGAAGCAGAACGTGGCATGGAAGGTGAGGAGTGAAGAACACACGACAGCCCAGCTGCGGCAGCTCAGGCCAGACTTCCATGGCAATGACCTGCAGAAGTCCAAGGTAGATGGCAGTCTGGGGTTGGGTGGGCCTGGGACCAGTTCTCGCTGGGAAAAGACCCCACAGTTACTGTTACCGCACACGCCACTACAGAGACAGGGGGCGGTGAAACGGAATCCTGGAGTCAGAGGCTCTGCTGCCAACCTGAACAGCTTCCTCTGGGCCTCCGTCTCCCGAAGAGTGAGAGGCAAGACTGAACTATCTGCTCTGAAAATCCTTCCAGCTCGAAAACGCCAAAGCAGGATGGAGTCTGAGAGTGAAAGCTTTACTTCACACAGCCGGGGGGCCACTTCCACCACTTACTACATGTCTCATCTTGAGCAAGTTATTCAGCCTCAGTGAGCTTCATCGGTAAAATGGGAATTTCAATTGAAACTCCTGCTGCATTTGTAATGAGGATTCATCCACATCATGCCTGTGATGTGTTTACCAAAGTCTCCTGTGCATTCAATCAATGTTACACAACCTTCAGTCCCAGTGCGAGTGAGTTTATGTGAGTTTAACTAATTGCGTAGGGGGGAATAAAAAGGAAGAAAATAAGAAATGGGAAGGAAGCAAAGATAATGAGCATATTTTACATGAAACAAATCTTGCATACTATCATGATGTCAGTATTTGCAGATAATAGTAATAATAATGAAATACCACTTATTAAGCATTTATTGAGCCCCAAGACTTAGTAACTGCTTACTATGCATATGCATTTACTATACAGGTGATATACCTAATCCTTACTAGAGACTGGATTCACCCATGAAGAAACAGAATCTTAGAGAGCTCATGTAGCAAGTCCAAGGCCACACAGTTAGAGAACAATAATGTTAACACTCCACACACATCAACCTCGCCTCATATTGCAGCACAGCCCTGAAGGCAAGGTGTGTGTCAAGCTTTGGAAAGATGGACGTGCTTGGCATTCCGGTGAGGGAGTCTCCCACCACGTTCTTTGGGAGCTTCCATGTGTATATGGACCCGGGACTGGCCCTTTGCCACCTGTATGCAGCCTGCCAGACTGCCCTGGCTCCCACCTGTGTCCAAGAAGCAGCCCAGTGTTGACTTTCCCTCCAAGGAGAGGCCAACACCTCTCCAGCTCCTGATGGTCCCTCTGGAGCAGCGGTTCTCAACCTGTGGGTTGTGACCCCTTTGGGGGTCGAATGACCCTTTCACAGGGGTCGCCTAAGACCATCGGAAAACACATATATAATTACGTATTGTTTTGTGATTAATCACTATGCTTTAATTATGTTCAACTTGTAACAATGAAATTGGGGGTCACCACAACATGAGGAACTGTATTAAAGGGTGGCGGCATTAGGAAGGTTGAGAACCACTGCTCTGGAGGGTGCAGCTGCCTCCCCAGTTGGCCCAAGTCGGCAGATGAGCTCTGCAGGAGGCCCACCTGCAAGTACAGCTCCACCAGCTCGTCCTCCTGCATGAGGTAGTAGAGACGCCCAGCCCCGAGCCAGGCCTCGGCAGCCTTGCCCTCCTCGCCCAGGTCGATGAAGATCCGCAGGCTCTCCTTGATGCAGGTGAGGGACCTCCTGAGGGACCTGAGGGGCGAACATGGACTCAGAAGGTGGGAGGGCTCCAAAGGGCCTCAGAGTCCCTTAGCACAGGGAGAAACGGAGGCTCTCAGGGGGGCGGGGGGAACAACATTGTTTCAGGTCACACAGGAAGGTCTGGGTGTGATTTGAACCAGGCTCTGCCTTAACTGGCTGTAAGAAAGTACAGGACTTCTCTGTGCCTTGTTTTCCCCATCTGTAATATGGGGATATAATTGTACCTGCCTCGGAGGATTGTTGCAAGGTTTAAATGTAATAATAAAACAAGAATGCTCAGAGTAAGCACTTGATAAAATATTTAAATGTTAGTTATCGTTATTACTGACCCATGCTCCATCTATCTTTCTACTGCACTTGAACATTTTTTCCATAAGCACTTAACACACAGCAGATGCCAAAGGCCTACTTATTGTATAAATGCACAAATGAATGACCATAGTGGTAACTTTAAATCATCAAAAACTTTTGGTGTTTTAAAAAGAAGTACCGAAGAAGAGTAGAAGTTTTCAAAGGTTCAGGTTTAATGGAGTGCTCTTTAATTATCTGGAAAAAACTGTCTTATGTAGGATACTCTTCCCTCATGACAGGGATTAATGAAGAAAGGAGGCACAGCTAATGTAATGTTGCACAGATTTGACATTCTAGAACAAGAAGGAGCACTGGGCATCATCTAGATCAGTGGTTCTCAACCTTGGCAGCAATTGGAATATCCTGGAAGCTTTTTAAACATACGTACACAGGCGAACCCACCTCATTGTGCTCCATGCCAGGGCACCCTGGGACACTCGGGGAGTGTGGCTCAGGCAGCAACACTCTGCCAAAGCCCTCCCACACTGCCTGCATTGTACAGCTTGGGTTGAGACTTACTGACCTAGTCCAACCCCATTATTTCATAGAGAAAACAGGCCCAGAGATGGGAAGTGACTGTGCAAGGATGCACAGCACGTTAGAGGAAGACTCAAGGCCAGAACTCCCTTCTTCTGAGTCCCAGCCCTGAACTAGTCCTGTAACACCCACATTCCTCAAAGCCTGATTCACAGCCCACGGGATTCAGCATTCCCTAGGGAGCTTATTAAACACACAGACTCCCAGAACTTCCTCAGATTGACTCTATCAGAATCATCACAGCTGCAAGCCAGGCTTCATTAGCCCTCAATTTCTACAGCTCTTTCTACCTCGTACGGGTATCCTGAGATTACACATTGCTCAGTAAACAGTGCACATCACTAAATGCTTTCTGTGACTGTGAGGACCCTAACCCCAACCACTTTCACAATGGATGCTCACTGGGCACACGCCCACCCCTGCAAATGCCCATCCCCCAACTCCATCCACATCCCCTCCTGGGGGACAGCCTAGAGTCCCCTCTCTCCCTTCGTACCCATATCCAGATGAACATTAAACTGTCTTTTAAACCTGCCTCGGAGGATTGTTGTAAGGTTTAAATGGAACAATAAAATGAGAGTGCTCAGAGTAAGCACTTGATAAATATTTAAATATTAGCTATCATTGTTATTACTGACCCATGGTCCATCCATCTTTCTACTGCACTGTAACATTCAAATGTGCCCTCACCTTCCCCACGTTTCCATTATAACTGCTGCTCCTTCTACCCCAAATTCCATTCTTTTATCCTTTCTCACCTTCAAAATCTTACTTCTCCCTCAAGGGCACCCTCACATGCTATGAGCTTCATGAAGTCTTCCCTGACCCTTCCCTGTTGGTGTTCCTTCCTTCCTCTCCAAACCTAGCCTTGCAGAGCCGGCCATCTCACCTGTGAGCACTGTTTGCCTTTGCCTGGGGTGGCTCTGGGTTTTGTGAAATGGAAATCCCTGCGGGAAGTTCAGTTGAAAAAAAAATGCATCCATTACATCAAAACTCACTTAATGAATTCCCCCTAGAAATCAGTGCCAAGAAAAAATTTGCTCCAACAGATATATTTGCTTCTGTTCTTTCATCAGGCAGTGTGAACCACATATGGCTTTCCCCTTTTACCTCCGCCACCAGGAAGCTTAGTGCTAACTTACAGTAATCACCCCCGGGTGCATGGAAACACTTGTTTTTCTATGTCTGTTAACTGGTCTTTGTTCTCTTTTTTCCTTGAGTGCTCTACAGAAGTGGGTGATTTATCCCTGCTAAATAAACACAGTCTCAGAACGTTCTCCTTGATGACCTGGGCCTTCTATAAAGGGATGATGACCTTATGTTTGCAGAGGTTTCCCCTGTCACTTAAGGTACCTCACAGTCTTCCTCTTGGTATCACTCACGGAAGGTAAAGCAGAGTGGATATTTATTTCCTCCCGATTATACAAATAGAAATCCAGAATCTTAGAGTTATAGAATGTTAGGATTTAAAAAAAGCCTAGTCTGGATCATATTCCAGAACAATGGAGTAAAGATCTCCAAAAATCCATTCTCCCATAAAAACAAAAGAGAACACAGGCAAAAATTGTCACATTCCATTTTTTCAGAACTCTGGAAGTTAACCAAAGGTTTGCGACAATTTGAGGAGAGTTCATTCAAGAAAAACAGCTGAATCGTGTTAAGAATAGTGAGTCTAGAACAGCCGTGGGATCCGGCCCATTTGAAATGAATAAAACTAAAAAAAAAAAAAGACCATACCCTTTTATGTAATGATGTTTACTTTGAATTTATATTAGTTCACACAAACACTCCATCCATGCTTTTGTTCCGGCCCTCCGGTCCAGTTTAAGAACCCATTGTGGCCCTCGAGTCAAAAAGTTTGCCCACCCCTGGTCTAGAAGCATCTCTCTCTACAGCTCTGTGGCAGCCTTAAAACCAAAGGCTGGTTTTTAACTTGGCAATCACAGTAGCTGGGAAAACCAGTAACCTCTTGCAGCCACTGGAGGGGACACAGTGAGTTTGGAATTCCCCATACTCTGTCCCCAGGGAACTGTCACTATCTGACAAGTCTGGAAGTTCCCTGAAAGCCTTCACTCACAGGGCTTGTTTTTAATCAACCTGACTCAGAGCTCACTCAGTGTAGATAACCCTTTCCCTGGGGTGTTTGTCCAAAAAGATGTGCAGCAATTGTTTAACAACGCTGCTGCCTGAGATGGTGAAAACATCTGGAGCAAAGAAGAAGCTGAAAACAAGACAACAAATAAAAGGAAAAGTTGGGGAATGAGCTGTCCATAGAAGGCATTGAAAAGCTCCAGCATATTCCCAGCAATCTAAAAGACCATCTGAATGTGCAAAACTGTGTGCATGTCCAGGAAATGTATAAGATTGTTATAAATGAAGATGTTAATTATAATCCCCAAGGTAACAACCAGAAAAATAGTGATATTAGAAAATACTTTTAGATGAATGAAAAGAAAAATACCACATATCAAAACTGGAGTGAGTGGAATGAAAGCAGTGCTCAGAGAGAAATTTATAGCTGTAAATATTTATATTAAAAAAGAATAAAAATCTCAAATCAGTAACCTAACATTCCACCTTAAGACACTTGAAAAAGAAAAGCAAAGTAAACCCAAAGCAAACAGGAGAAAGAAAATAATAAATATTAAATCAGATACAAATAATATAGAGAATAAAAAAATAGAGAAAATCAACAAAATAAAATAATTGGTTCTTTTTAAAAAAATTTTGAGTCAAATCTTTTGTTAGTCTAATCAAGAAAAGTAAGAGAAAAGCTAGGAATTAAAGTGGAGACATTATTACTACCAGAAATAACTACAGAAATAAAAAGGATGATAAGGGAATACTATGAACAGTTGTACTCCAACATATTAAACAATCTAGGTAAGTGGACACATTCCTAAAATAAAAACTATCAAACTGTTTAAGAAGAAATAGATAATCTAAATAGACCTATAACAACCAACAAGACTAAATTATTAATTTAAAAAAGAACAAAACAACTCCTTACAATGAAAAGCCCATGCCCAGATGGCTTCACTGGTGAATTCTACCAAACATTTAAAGAAGAATTAACACTAATCCTTCACAAACTCTTTCAAAAAATAGAAGTGGAGGAAACATTTCCCAGCACATGTTGAGGCCAGTGTTACCCTAATAGCAAAACCAGACAATATCACAAGAAAAGAAAAATACAGATCGATATCTCTTATGAATATAGATGTAAAAATATTCCACCTATAGTAGGAAATTGAATCCAGCAGCATATAAAGAGGATTATACTCCATAATCAAGTGGGATTTATCGCAGGAAGGCAAGATCAGTTCCACATAGTAAAATTAATCAACTCAATACCCTTTTTACTAGAATAAAAGAAAAACCCACATGGTAAGTTCAATAGGTGCATTAAAAGCATTTGAAAAAAAATAACTCTTTAATAATAAAAATTATTATTCTATTCAAAGAACTAAGAATAGAATGGAAATTCCTCAACCTAATAAAGAGAATTTATGAAACATTCACAGTTAATTTTATACTTAATGGTGAAAGCTTTAAGTCTGAAAGCTTTCTCCTTAATATCAGGTGCACAACAAGAATTTCTACTCTTGCCACCTTTATTAAACATTGTATTGAAGATTCTATCTAAGGTTATAAGACAAAAAATGAAATAAAAGACATCTAGATAGGAAAGGAAGAAGTAAAGCTATATATGCATGTGACATGATCTTATATATAGAAAACTATAAGGAATACACACACACACTATTAGAACTAATAAACAGTTGCAGGATACAATATTAACATGTAAAAATCTACTGTATTTCTATAAATGCCAATGAACAATCTGAAAGTGAAATTAAGAAGACAATTGCATTTATAGAGGCATCAAAAACTACTCAGAATACATTTAACAAAAGAAGTGAAAGATGTATATTATAGAAACTACAACACACTAGAAAGGGATTAAAGGAGATCTAAGTAAATGGAAAGACATCCATGTTCATGAAGTCGAAGACAGGATGTTGTTAAGATGGCAATATCACCCAAATTGATCTACAGATGCAACATTCTCCCTATCAAAATCTCAGCTGGCTTCTTTGCAGAAACTGAAAAGATGCTAAATTTCATATAGAAAGGCAAGGGACCCAAATAGCCAAAACAATCTTGAGAAACATGTTTGGTGAACTCACTTCCCAATTTAAAAGTTACTGCAAAGCTATAATAAACACAATGGTATAGTCTGGCATAGGCTAGACATATTGATCAATAGAATAGAACTGAGAGTCCAGAAATAAACACTTATTTTTATAGTCAATTGATTGTCAACAAGGGTCCCAAAACATTCAATGTGGAAAAATAAATTTTCAACAAGTGGTACTTGGACAACTGAATATCCACGCAAAAGAATGAAACTGGACCCTACCTCAAACCATATTTAAAAAATGAACCCAAAATGACTGATTGACTTAAATGTAAGAGCTAGAACTAGTAGACTACTGCACTAAATAACTACAGTAGTACCCCTGTTCCAAGACCCCCAATGAATACCTGAAACGATGGATAGTATCGATCCCTATTTATGCACTGTTTTGTGCTATAAAGAAACACCTACGGCTTCTCTTTAGCATATCCAGATTGCCAGCATCACTACTGTTGTGCCTTGGGGCCATTATGAAGTAAAATAAGGATTATTAGAGTACAAGCACTGTGATACCTCTACAGTCGATCTGAGAACCAGGAGGACCACTAAGTGACTAATGGGCAAGTAGCATGTACAGCATGGACACACTGGACAAGTGTGGTTCAAGTCCCAGAAAGGGTGGAGGAGCACAGAGAGAGATGTCATGCTACTCAGAACAGCATGCAGTTCATTTCTGGACTTTTCCACTGAACATATTAGGACTATAGTTGACCACGGTTCATTGAAACTGTGGAAAGCAAAACCGGGGGTAACGGGAGACTACTGTAATTACTACTCAGCTGACCCACACAGATATGGATTGTATGTTTCTCTGTGCCAACTTCTCTGCTCGACATGTCTGCCCACATGGAGCTTATGGTCCCCACACCATGACCTTCTGAACCTACCACAGAGTTTTCAAAACCCCAAAAGCTTAGGTCTCTGATCTAAAAGGTCCTCTAAAGAAAGCCCACAGCCTTAAGAATCTGTCCCCTTCCTGGGACTGAGGCACAGGTAAAGGGAGATTGCAGGACTCCTGATTCTTATAAGAGAGAGAAAGGGTGAGGGAGAGAAAGAGTGACACAGAGAGAGAGGGTGGGGAGAGGGAGAGGGAGAGAGAGAGAGAGAGAGAGAGGGGTCCTTATTTTATTATTTATGATTTGATTATCCAAGTGCCTAAGGTTACCAGATTGCCTACCGTGTAGCCTAGAAAAGCAAAATTATAATTTAATTAGCTTCTCCTCAGCCACCTCTCTCTGCGCAACACTAGCAATTATCTCTGCTCTATTTTAGAGGTCATTCACAATTATGAATTCAATGCTACAATGCTAATCTGTTGCAAAATGCAATTGAGTATCTTGCAAACCATGTGGAATTTAATAGAGTGAATTAAAGGCTTGTTAGAGAGCAGAGCTGCAGGCCACAGGCCCTGACAAATGAGAATGAAGTAGATTAGACCAGTGAGGAGACAGGCGAGAGAATACCAGCAGGAGGGGCGGACGCCTTGAGAATACTTTAAATACCAAAGGGTTAAAAGAAGCCTTTGGGTAAAATAGTTTGGGTATATTTTTGCAAAAATAAAGCTTTTTAAGAGATTGCTGAAAAAAACACACAAAACAAAGGATGTTTCATTGTACTATTACACAATTTTGTCAGCACAATTAAGCTACAGTCAATACTTCTTTTGTTGTTTATTCCAAGACTTGGTGCATAGTTGTAGTTATAGCCCAAGTATTTTGAACTAAAAAGTGAAAATAAACTTTATAATTTTATAATTTCCAGTTTAATTTTAAAGGTAAGGGCCCAAACAACTTTCTTTACTTTGAATAAGGTAATGTATTTACTTTCAGGGAATGTATTTACTTTGCGTCCTTTCTCTAGTACCAGCTGTTTCAGGTGAGGGAGACCTGGGTTCCTAACAGCCACCTCTCCTCATTACGCATCCTCAGCCATGGGCAAGTGATGGGTTGTTATGGAAACACAAGTAACTGTAACAGAGGCAACATTCCCGAGCCCTTTCTATATATCAAGCACTGTTCCAAGTGGCCCATGTGCATTAACTCACTTATTCCTCACAAAAATACTATAGCATGGAGGCCATCACTGTCCTTCTTCAACTGAGGAGGAAGCTGAAACTTGGAAAAATTAAATAACTGGTCCAAAGCCACAGAGCTGGTAAGTGATGACGACACTGGGCTTGCACTGAAGCTGCAAAGCCCAGGCTCTTTTCCTTGATGCTATAACATACCATGGGCATTGGACTTGACACCCTGCAGGAAAGAATAGTGTTTCTCCTTAAGGCAGGGGTCCTCAAACTTTTTAAACAGGGGGCCAGTTCACTGTCCCTCAGACCGTTGGAGGGCCAGACTATAGTTTAAAAAAAAACTATGAACAAATTCCTATGCACACTGCACATATCTTATTTTGAAGTAAAAAAAACAAAACGGGAACTATAACATACCATGGGCATTGGACTTGACACCCTGCAGGAGAGAATAGTGTTTCTCCTTAAGGAAAAAGGATGTTTCTAGGACTTTTCCCCTAAGCCCAGACTCACCTGGCCGTGTTTAGGTTCCGATACAGCTGCCCGAGGGACTCCAGCAGCTGCCCCTCCATCTCCCGGTCCCTGAGTCGCTGAGCCAGGGCCAGCCAGTGCTCGTGATAGGTGATGCATGCCTCGGGGTTTGGGGACACAGAGCTGTAGAAATGGCAGAGGGATTTGGTGACCTGAAGCTGACCTGAACATAAAGCAGGGACATGAATGAGATGACCTGAGACAGGAAAAGGGCAAAACGTGCTCTAACACTTTGCTCTCAAGCTGCCCAGCAGCAGGGGACATACTCACTCTTTAGGTGCCGATGCCTTAAGCCAAACAGCAAGGCCATTTCATAACAAAGGCGCCCACTGGCCAGCTGGCATCCACACACCAGGACTTGGGCCAACCAGAGAAGCACCTGTACTAATTCCATGTCTGTCTCCACACTGCCCTGGAGTTGACAATAGAGTCGGACGGCCTGAAGGAAATAGTCTCTGGCTGGCTGCTGGGCCCAAGATTTAAGGGAGAGATGGCCAAGATTAGCCAAAGTCACTGCCTGGTTACGCACATCCCCCACCTCCTGGGCCCCGTTCAAGGCCCGGAGATAGCTCTTGGCTGCCCTGTTCAGCCGGCCTTCACCTTGAAGTGCAAGTCCCAGAAGGTTCTGGACTACCCCCTTTTGGATAGCATCCTCTGTCTCCTTCAGGGAGTGTAGGAGTGGGTAGAGGATGTCCAAAGCCTTCTTCGCCTGGCTGGCTAAGAGATAGGCCCATGCCAGGCAGAGGGCAGACTCGAAGGCTTCCTGCTCCCCCAGCAGCTGCCCTAGCACCAAGGCTTGGCTCAGGTAGTAGATGGCACCATCAGGAGACCTGTGTTGGAGGTACACTCTGGACAGGATGAGACACAGGGCCCTCTGGGTGCGCCGATCTGCCTGCTCCTCACAGGCGGCCAGCGCCTGCCTGAGCGCCGGACAGGCCAGGGGGGAAACTTCATTCCAGCTTGTGGAGGGAACGCGGAGGAGCTTGGTAGCATTCTGGAGGGCCAGGTGGACCTGCCAAACCGGAAGGGACATCCCTTGGGCACTCTGGGGACCACGTTGCCGGACAGAGGCCACTGCAAGGTGCGGAAGGTATTTCTTATCATACAGAAAACTCAGGATGGTGGCCACCGCATCCGAGGCGGGAGGGTGTCCAGAGAGAAGCTGCAGCCGTTCCGCGAAGGGCAGGACCTCCTCATGCCGGCCGAGGCTTAGGAGCAATCGGATGGCCAGGAAGCAGGCCCGGGCCTCCAGGGGGCAGCTGCCCGACGCAATGCCCTGGCGTAGCACGTAGGCCACCACATCGAGCTCGTTCTTGGCACTGGACTCCCGGTCGGGCAGGCAGGCCAGCAGGGCCCCTGCCTTTTCCAGCAGGGCCGAGCCTTTGTGCCTTAGCCTCTGCCGCAGGTAGATGGCAGCCACGTTGATGTACAGAGCAGCCACCAAGGACAGGTCCTCAAACGCCCCGTTGAGAATGCGGATGGCCTCCTCGAAGTACACCCTGGCCTGGGAGAGCTTGACCTTCCTGACGCTCAGCCGGCCCAGGAGGAAGCAGAGCCGGGCATGGGCCCAGGTCATGTGGCTCCGCTTGGCCCACTTCCTGGAGGCCTCCAGGTAGACCACCAGCTCGTCCTCCTCGGAGAAGCTATAAAAGGAAGACGTGAGGAAAGAGAAGGAGAAATCATAGAGGCTCTTCAAGTGGTCGGCGTAACCCTGGTGATCCAGGAAAGCCAAGATGGGGGCGAAGGTCTCGGCCTCCTCCTCCTCCTGACCGGAGTTCAGGTCCATGAGCAGCTCCGGGTCATCCAGGTCGTCTGGCTCCGGCAGGTGATAGCTGTCTGAGGCGGCGGAGAGGAGCTCCTCCAGGCTGCAGTCCTCGGAGCTGCTGGACCGTCCGGAGCCCGAGGCCTGTTGCTCCTCCCTGGCCCCCCCAGGCCGGGCCTCCTGGAAGCCGTCAGGCTGGGACGCTGTAAGGGACAGCAGAGTTGAGCTACCCTAAGCCCCAGCAACTACAGTGGCCGGTGCTTGGCAAGCGGACAGGGTGCTGTCCCGAGGGACTGGCGGTCAGGGTCAGCATGATCTCTACTCACCGCTCAGATCATTTGGAAGATTCTGGATGGACTCGAACCCACCTGGATAGAGATGAAGGACAGACCAGTGTTAGGTCCTCATGGGCCACCACGCCTGTGCCTGCAGGTGTACCCCAGACCAGTCTGGGGACTTTGTATTTGTGCTTCAGACCATCAGCATCTTTAAGGAACTGGGCAGAATTCTCTCCTTCATCATCAGTTTAGAGTGGCTAAAACCTACATATTATCTTACTTAACCCACTTGCTTTACAGCTGGGAACTGAGTTGGAAATGAGACCCAGAGGGAGAGAAGAAAAGCTGAAAACATCAGCTCTATGCCCAGAGGTGTGGGGGTGGGGGATGATGAACTCTGAAGCCCCAAATCTCTCAGCAGTTTTACGACAGAGCCGTGAACAGACCCCCAAGTGCAGCTCACTTTGCGGCACGTGGCATCGCCTCCTGTTCCCGTGTGTCCCAGATCCCTCCTTCTTCCTTCCTCTTTCATTCATCAGCCGGCCACTCAACAGACACTGATTTAGTGTGTACGGTGTGTTTTGACTGGACGCGGTGACCAAATGTGACTAATGAAGAAAAGAAAGCCAAGGTGCATCGGAGGGTGGTGGTCTCGGGGTGGGGGAAGGGGGGAGATGTAGATGAAAGGACAGTCTTCGGCCCTGTTTTAGACACTTTGGGTTTGCAGTACGTGGAAGAGCTCTAGACTGAGAATTCAATAGATCTGGCCGGAGAAAAGTTGGCAGAAGGAGACTGAGAAGGCACAGAGAGGAAAGTAGACACGGAGACGAGGGTGCCTTATGGTGCCACCACTTAATGTCACAAAAGTGAAACAAGACTAGGTGAGAAGCAAGACGACCTTGTGAGTTTGGCAGCAAAGAAGCGAACCCTCTTGACTAGAGCAGCCGCTAGGGAGCTGTGGAGGCAAAGGCCAGACGCGCTCCGCAGACAGGGGCTGCTCAAGGAAGATTCTGCCTCTTCCTGGCAGGGAAGCAGCAGCCCGCTCGGGGCTCTCCAGTGAACTTGAGGACATCAGGCCCCTCACCAAGTCAAGCCTCAGACTCCTATTCTCGGGGGATGGCTTTCTCTGCGAGTGTCATTGAAGATACTTGAGATCTGCAACCCCTGAGGGGGAGGAGGCTCCGTAGGCAAACACAGGAGAGCTAGGTGTTCATGCGCCTGGTCCTCACTGACTTGGAGGACACAGCCATTTCTCTCCAGGCCAGGACCATGGAGAGCACAAACAGTGCTCGAGCCTCCAAAAGGTGCTCCTCTAGAGGAAGAATTGCAGGAGGCACTTCTTCCCTGGGCATAGGCCTTGGGGGGTGGAAGTTACCAAGAGGATGTTCCCTCTGCTGGCTGCCTTGGTGCCAGGGGCAGCCGGCACACTCACAAGGCACAGCTCTGCATCCAGCTGAGCTGCACTCCTGGTCTTTAGACAAGAGGCAATGGGCTGCCTAGAACCTGCTCCTGGATCTCTCCCAACCACAGGGTCCATGGTTGGCAGATACCTTAGCTCCAAGTCTGTGGCCACCCTGCCCCATGACACACCCCAAGTAGTCCTTAATTTTTCAGATCTCAGCCCCCACCTACCAGGCAGCACCCACAGTTTCAGATTCCTGACAGCCTGGTGGACAGTGTGACGGTAGAGCTGGAGCTGCTGTAGAGCCAGGTGCTCCTCCCTGTGCTAGAGAAAGATTCCAGCTCCCACCTCTGCTCCGGGGGCTGACCTGAGTGTCCCTCCTGCAGAATCTCTGGCTGTACCCATGAAACATGCCCCAACTAATCTTGCCACATGGGAGTGGATACAACCTCACCATTGCTGAAGAGATGGGAGAAACAAGAATCCTTCCTCAAACCACTGTCCATGGGAGAATGGACTTCCTGACACAGAGCAACAGGCCCTCTCCAAAGGCAGGGAAGGGCGGTCATTCATTCACCCTGTCAATCACCTGACACTGCTGAAAACTGTGCTAGGCACCGAGATCCCTCACCCACCCAAGTCTAATGCACCCAAAAGTCCAATGTCATTTGTGTCAGGGTCAGTGTGAAGGTAGGGATTGTGTTGACTAGAAAAATGGGTGAAGGCAGTTCTTTTCCTGGCTCAGGCATTAATTCATTTGGGCCTCAGTTTCTCAATTTGTGAAACTGGAAGAAAAGTTATGTTTTTAGGGTCCTTCCAATTGTAACATTCTATGCCCCCACCTTTATCATTGGGGACCTAGACTTGCTTCTGCCCTAAAAGGAGGGACCACAGCCACAACTTGGGGAGTTTTTCTTCTCCAGGATTAGAATGGAAGGCTCAATATGGCTGACCTCCCAAGTGATAGTTGAGTTGATGTCAACATGTCTCACTGTTTCTAGGCAACAAGTCCCACCAAATCCAGAACTGCCTGAAATCTCAAGGGAAAGTGCTGCTAATCAAATACTATCCAGGTCATCAACTGAATAGTAACCACAGCCCCAAATTCCTGGGTGGGATTAGCATTTAAAGATACTCTATTCCTGGTTGGAAACACTCTCTTAATCTTGAGGAGCCTGGGCTTTCCCAGGGGTTGGAGGAGCAGACACTCACTAAGCCGGTAGACAGACGTTATGTCAGTTTGAGCAAGCGCGTGAAGGAAGCTGGTGCTCTCAGCTTTCCCGTCACTTCCCAGGACTCCCAGAGAGCATCTCTCTTCATCACTGAAAAAGGCGGAGTTCTTGCTCCTGTATTGAGACAAAAGACATGGACACAGATCAGTGAGAGGTTCCAGGCATGACTCCTTCTCCCTCTCTGTGAGGACGTAGTGAAGGACATAGAGAAGCCATCACCCATGGGCCACAGCTAAAATCAGACTCTGCCTCACTGTTGTACAGTGTATTAATTTATGGCTGAGAGGAAAGCTGTTAAAACTCCATCCCCCAAGAAAAACAAAGCCCTTCTCTTGACTCCTTCCCTTTCTTCAAGACCATGTGGTGCCTATTTTTAATGGCAGAAACAGGAATTGGTTTTCCTAATTTTAAGGGTTGGAAAGGAGTTCTTCATTAAAAGAAGTTTCTTTGTTAGGCTACTGCAAGAAAACGCTAGGGACAGGTGACATAATCTAGAGCAGTGATGGCGAACCTATGACACGTGTGTCAGAGGTGACACGTGAACTCATTTTTTTGGTTGATTTTTCTTTGTTAAATGGCATTTAAATATATAACATAAATATCAAAAATATAAGTCTTTGTTTTACTATGGTTGCAAATATCAAAAAATTTCTATATGTGACACAGCACCAGAGTTAAGTTGGGGTTTTTCAAAATGCTGACACGCCGAGCTCAAAAGGTTTGCCATCACTGATCTAGAGGGACAATGAAGAAAGCATGGCTATGGTCAGAAGGAACCTTTCCCAACTGCCAACATCAGATTCCATGGCACAGAACAACAGTGTCACATAGCATCGAGAGAGAAATAAAATGCTAAAGAGTAGAAGTGGGTAGAAAAAGGACCGGGGGCTGGAAGAAATAATCTTATCTAATAAAAGGCTAATATGCAAATGGTTGTGATGCTCTCATGCTGTAACGACCAATCAGTAGGAGGCTGTGTGCGTGGAAGGCGCGGGTGGGTGGGGCTGCATATGCAGCGAGGCCGGGGAACGTGAGGCTGCGTCCCCCATCCGGCACTGTCCAGGGACGTGACACTGTTATTGTTTATTTATTAATAAATTTATATATCATTTTCATATGCATTTTACTAATTTTCTTTCATCTCTGACACTTCTATTATAGAGAAAGTGCAAATAGCAATATTAAAATATTTCCTCTAATTAATTCCCTTTTAATGTGCACGAATTTTGTGCACCGGGCCACTAGTTATAAATAATAAGGATCTTTATATTCACCCTGTCTTATAAAACAAACTTGCTTACTAGAGATTTGTCTTAGACTCAAAGAATTTGAAAACTAGAAGTACCTTAGAAAGTGTTCAATCCAGTATCTATCTGAACAATTGCTAAGATGTCGTACTTATAAAGTTGGTTTTTTAACTTCAGAATCCAATTTTAAACAAAAATAACCTGGAATCCTAATATTTCATAACAGCTAATAATTTGGGGTTGCTTATTATGAATCAGGCACTGTTATGTCATTTAAGATACACATCTGCCCTATGAGGCACCTACCCTTTGTCCCCATGGCTCAGATAAGTGCAGTCTGAAAGCCAGTGATGAGGAAACCAGCAGCTAACATGAACTGCTCAAGGCCACACCACTAATTAGGGCAGAACTGGCATTAAAGCTGTGTCCTGACATCTGGCCCAGGGTTCTTCCCACGACACTTGCTGATGCTCCGTCTCTCTGGCCTGGCCTCCGATTCTCTGTGAGAGCGCCCATTCTCAAAAGAGAACCTGATGGAAACCTACGACTAAACCTATTTGAGATAAAAAGAATTATACCATCCCAATTTCTGTAGAACTCTTAAATTTTACAAAGCATTCCTGAATTTACTATTTCATTTGCCCTTCCTAACAGCCCTGTGATGTAGATACTTTTATCCATATTTGGGGATAAAGATTCAGAAAGGTTCAGAAGGACACACCTAGAAAGTGGGAAAGCTGAGACCGAAGTTGAGGGCTCCCGTCTCAGCATCCACTGCCTCACGGCTGATCTGCTTACGTCCTGAGGCCCAGGTATTTGGAGAGTCCAAGAAGGTAGGCAAACTCTAAGAGTGGTTTCCAGCATGGAGGGGGTTAGAGGAGTTTTTATTGATTTTTTTAGAGCAAGAGATAGAGAGGTGGAACCATCGATGAGAACCATCAATCGTCTGCCTCCTGCACATCCCCTACTGGGGATTGAGCCCACAACCCAGGCATGTGCTGTGACTAGGATTTGAACCGAGGACCTCTTGGTTCATGGGTTGACGCTCAACCACTGAGCCACACTGGCCAGACAATATTTAAATTTATTTTTAAATTTAGGCATTTAAGTATATAAATTTCCTTTAAGTAACAGTATTAAAATGAACTATATCTATTACAATGGGAATAAAGCCTAAGTTTACAAAGTCATTTGAGAAAAAGGCCAGCTACAGGAAAAGAAATTTACATAAACTTTTAATTACACAGAACCATAGAATGCTTGCTTATGAACAAATACCTATTTTTAAAATGTCTCAGACTAAGGACTGGAAACACATATCACCTTCACATAGAGTTTGCCTCTGGGGTGGGGATCTGACCAGAGGATGAGAGTGGGAAGGGAAAAGGCGTCTTCAGTTAGATATAAAGATATGGTTTCTTTAAAACACACACACACACACACACACACACACACACAACACACACAGAGGTCGATTTAAAAACAAAATCACATTATTTTTTAAAGGAAGGATGTGGAGTTCTGTCATTCTCAAAAGCTCTGAGATCCCCGAAGCCACTCTGGCCAAATGCAAAGACGGACTGGAATGCCTGCCAGTCATAAGAACTTGTCTTCCAGCTGCTGTTGCTGTGAACTGGGGAGCTGGTATTGAAATCTGTGCTCTAAAGGAGGAAACCCACAAATCTGCTCCTGTGGACAAGCACAACCCTTTCCCACGTGTCAGAGACAGCAAATCTGACGCCGAAAAAAACAGCTTTGATTGATAAATAAATTAATTAACATACATACATACATACATACATACACACACACTTTAGGGAGTAGTATACCAGACAGGGTGGCAACGGGTAGGAAGAGGATGGAGACTTCAGCAAATGATGGACCATCTTCAGAAACTTGACACCAAACAAACATGGGCTAAGAGTGACACCCAGTGGCCAACCACCAGCACAGCCCACAGGAATGGTTCCCAGGACTTCCACCCCTGCCTGCTGCTTGTGTCCAGGATGTTTGTGGGGTCTCCCTGACTGCTGCTTTAGGGAGGTCTGTAATCCAGAGAGTGCCTTGTGGGGATGCAATGAGCCAGTTCCCCTCTCCTCCCCTCCTTGCACCCCTCCCCGTCTCCTGGCTCCCTTTCCCTTTCCCTACCACGTGTGCAGTCTCTGCAGCATTGGGTCTCACAGGTGACAGGTGTAGGACAACAGAGAATGCTGTGGAAATAAGGAGAAGGTCTCATGCCACCACTGGGTACAGGGGCTGATGTTCTCCAGGGTGAGAGTGTATCCCCGACAACTGAGCAGCTAAAACAGGAAACATGAATTTCGTGGCACTGTGTCATTGTCATTTGGGACAAGGTATGAGGTAAAGTCCAGATATAATTTATCAAATCTGACATCTGCCCACAATCTCCTATTATAACTGTCTCTCAAAGGTTACCACCCACAACAGTCACAGCAATAACAAGCGCTAACACATTCACCACACACACACACACACACACACACACACACACAGTGTCAAGCACCACCCTAAGTACCTGACATGTATGAACTCATTTCAACTCATGCCAATCCTATGAAAAAACATGATCACTGTAAGCAGTTTACAGATGACAGAACTGAGGTGTAGAGAGACAAGTCCACATCCCCACAGTCACAGGCCGAGCTCGCATGGCCCTGAATGCCTTTCTAGCGGTTTGGCTCTGAAAGTCTTGATTGCTAAGCTACGCTGTCTCCCATGACCAATGACCTCGCAATGACCAGTGACCTGCTAGTGACCAATCCCAAAGCCTTCGATCGTGTTAAACATCACACACACACCCTCCCCTGTGGCTGGTCCTTCCCTCTCAGCAGGCTCCCCCGTCTCCTATGCTACTTTCCTCTGCTCTGTAACAGACCTCGGTGGAAACGTTCATTGGATATAATGCCAGGATTCTGGGGTTCCAGACCCAAGGCCCTGAGTCCAGCCCTCTCACTCTTGGGCCTTCACTTCCCCCACCGTAAAATGAGGGTGATTTGCCCAATGGTCTCACCTTGGCCGTACACTGGCCCCACCTGAAGCACTTTCATAACCAAAGCTGCCCAGGCTCCACCCAGACCAATGAGATAGAACCTTGAAGGGTCGGACACAGTTGGTCCTTAGCAGTGCCCTCTCCTCTCTATACCCCCACCCCTTCCCAAGGGCCACCAGCCTCTGCCTTCTTCCTGGTCACCTGCTACAGGTCGTCCCTCGCCCGTGCACGCCTCACCCAAAGCCAAGGTCAGCTTCCTAGAGAGAAGTTCCAGTCACATCACGTCAGATATTCTCAGTGGCTCCCCATTCCCTGCCAGGTGAAAGACAGGCTGGCCCAGCATTTCTAGCCTTCCCCATCACGGCCCGTGAAACCGTGGTGGCACCAGTGCCCTCCTGGTAACCTGCCTCCCCCAGGACAGGAGTCGTTCCGCAACATCCCCTCCCTTTCCCACCTGCCACCTCCTCCCCATTTACATCTGCTGAGATGTCTTACATCGTGCAGAACTGAACTCAAATGTCACCTTGTCCGTGAAAGTTCTCTTGCCACCCTTTCCTCCTTGCAGACGCCCACAGCACTCCACACCCTGCAGGAGCTCAGTGGCTGATCTGTCTGGTTTAGAGTTCCTTGGGTTCCCACATTTCTGCGCAGGGAAAATGACCTTCTGTCTCCTCTCCCACAAAAGGCAGGGCTTTGAGAAAGCTCTGCCCTGGATCCACTCTCCCCAGGGCTCTTTCCCACAAGAGAAGGGGACCCAGTCTGAGTGCTCAGAGCTGAGACGTGGGCCATGTTTTCCTGGTGTGGAGTCTCTATTAGCAGCCAACTGCGTTTCCTCTCACTTCCTGGGCCCAGGCTTCCTACCGTTTCCTGTCCCTGTGCAGGAAGCTGCCCCAGAGAGCCTGGGCAGACAGTGGGGAAGCAGGCTGGCCAGCTGCACCCAGCCCAGCCCTGTGGACTGAAGGCAGGAAAGAGTAAAAGATGCACTCCACAGTCCGGCCCAACACCAACGTCACACGTGAAACTGTCAGCAGGCAGACCTACATGGGAGGGACTCTCCACTGACCAAGCTGTAATCTATAGGCCCCTGGGAGTGCACGTCTCTTGATGGGGCCCCTACATTAGATCAGATACGTGGCCGAATACAAGGACCAATACTGCACCCTCAGGGCCCTTAGCAGGCCTTTCTCCTTGCACAGAGGGAAGCCCCGGGGCCCAGCTGTTGAAAGCACCTGAACTGACTCTCTCCCTGATCAGTACCCCCTCCTTCCTGTCACTCCTGTGTCACCCTGCCTGTCAGTGTGCTTCCCTGGTTCCATGTTTCCAGGGAACTGAAGCTCATCTGCAACCCTGCTCAGGATGGGGGGCTCCTGAGGAAGGCGGCCCAGCTCCAGGGCGAAGCAGGGGTCTCTCCGTCACACTCACGTTGGGGAGTAAGAGTCGGGATCTATGTTCCTGGTGGGGACAAAGCCCACTTCTCCGGAGCACGCCGACTTCCCAATGAACCACTGAAGCCCAGGTATGACAAAGCCCACGATCTCGATGCTTTCTCCCTGGCGGAGGTCCAGTTCGTCCTTTTCTTCCCTCTCGTAGTCCTTCCAGGCCTTACATTTTCCTCTGCCTGCGGGGAAACAGCACACAGGTCAGCTAAGTGTGGCAGAAACAGCCGAGCCTTCCACTAGCTTTCAATGCAATGTGAAGGGAGGGGTTCCCATACTTTAGAACTTCAAGGACCAGTAAAATTCCCTCCTCCCAAAAAAGAAATTCACAGGAATGACATAGGGCAGTTGGCTTTTCATTTTGCCAAACTAGGACATTCAACAAAAGGAACAGCCAAGCACTTTCGCCATCACTTTATAAAGAAAAGATGTTTGAACACACGGAGGCAAGATAATCTCAGAATCTGGATGTACCCGAACTCTGAGTAAAGTTCGCTTGTGGAAAACCGCAAAGCTCACTATACTGTCCACAGCCTGTGTGCCAGCATCGTGTGAACACGTCATCGTGGTCGGCGCGACTCCACAGACCAGGGTGAGAGCCACTGTAGGATCTCCTCCTTCCCCCCAAGTCCTGTGGCCCCTGTGGCCCCCCGCCGCCCCAGCTGTAAAATGGGAGCAGCAAGAATGCCTGTCTCTTACGAATACTGGGAAGGGTCACGGTGACTGGTACCCAGTCAACCCTCAACCACCGTTAGCCCCTATCACTGGCGAACAGAAAACTGCCGATGGCTTAGCAGTGGTCAGCAAACCACGGCTCGCGAGCCACATGCGGCTCTTTGGCCCCTTGAGTGTGGCTCTTCCACAAAATACTGGCTCTTCCACAAAATACCGACTTCTGCGCATGGGCCACGAAGTTTCAATCGCACTGTACGTGCTCGCCCACACGTGGTATTTTGTGGAAGAGCCACACTCAAGGGGCCGAAGAGCCACGTGTGGCTCACGAGCCGCCGTTTGCCGACCACGGGCTTAGAAGGATCTCGAAGTCCCCCCTTCAGACTGTGATCATTGCCCAGCTTGATAAATTGCCCAGCGAGGACCGAGCAATGACGTATTTAGGAGCATGTACTGTCCATCTGCAAAGCCCTTTTGTGTCCGTTTTCTCAGATCTCCGCAGGAGCCCCAGAGCGACGACCGGAACCCTCTTTGTATGGGTTAGGAAGTGGGGGGCCCAGAGAAGCACGAGAACAGTGCGTGAGAAGCCGGGTCCCTCCACTGCGGGTGACCCTGCTTTCTGCTGATTCTCCTCTGACTGACAGCACGGTTTTCTATGTGCCTTGGTTTCCATATTTCCTTCAGCTGCTCTGCTAAAGCTACTGGCTTTACCCCCCGACATTTTGGCCCAAGTTTCCATTGACAATGTCTTCAAGATCAGAAATTTCCGCCCGAACCAGTTTGGCTCAGTGGATAGAGCGTCTGCCTGCCGACTGAAAGGTCCCAGATTCAATTCTGGTCAAGGACATGTACCTGGGTTGCGGGCACATCCCCAGTAGGGGATGTGCAGGAGGCAGCTGATCGATGTTTCTCTCTCATCAATGTTTCTAACTCTCTATCTCTCTCCCTTCCTCTCTGTAAAAAATCAATAAAATATATTTTTTTAAAAATCAGAAATTTCCACCCATTTGTGGGTTTTATGGTAAAACTTATGAACGAGGCAGTTCAGCATAATGAGGGCCTGTGAATTGACCGAGGTCACACTGGCTTTAAGTTGTGGAGTCAGAATTTGAACCGAACTCACAGCCCCATGCTCATAACTAACTACAAGACTAGATGCCTCAGATAATCAAGAATCTTGTTTATGGCCGTCGCAGATTAGATTTAATATCTGGGTTCCATAATTCCCACTATTTCTTTTTTTGTAAGTATCATTCAGGCTTAGAACTTACAAAATTTTACTTTTTGCTGGGGGTGGGGAGTGGGGGGAAGTACTCTAAGGATGAAGATGAAAGGAATTTATATTCTAGGTATCTAGCAAACATTAAAGTTTATTATCCACTAGACACATACATATACACACATAGACATACACATACATACAGATACAGATTGCCTAAAATGTATGTGTACATATGTGTGTGTGTATTTTGTTTATTTATGCAAAAAATAGTTACTAGTTACCCACTAAGTGCCAGGCATTCTTACTCTTCCTAAATTCAAGATTAATTTCACAAATCTTTAGGGGAAATTAAAAACTTTTTGACCAGAGATTGGAATCAGGCAGCCTGCTGCAAAAGGTAAGATTTCCTTCTTTTTTATGGCTGAGTAGTATTCCATTATGTAAATGTACCACAGCTTTTTTATCCACTCATCTAACCATAGGCACTTGGGCTGCTGCCGAATCTTGGCCATTGTAAATAACGCTGCAAGGAACATAGATGGATCTGGAGATTATTATGCTTAGTGAAACAAGCCAGTCAGAGAAAGACAAGTACCATATGATCTTAATTATATGTGGAACCTAATGAACAAAATAAACTATGGGTACAGACTGACAGCTGTCAGAGGGGAGGGGGCTGAGGCTGGGTGAGAAGGGTGAAGGGATTAAGCAAAGATAAAAAAGAAAGACTCATGGACACAGACACTGGTATCATGATTGCCAAAGGGAAAGGGGTTGGGGGAAGTAGAAGAAGGTAAAGGGGGGATAATGGTGATGGAAGAAGACTTGGAGTGGTCAATACACAATACACTATACCTGGAACCTATATAATTTGATTAACAATGTCACCCCAATAAATTCAATTTTTAAATAAGAAAGCAAGCAGCCTGTTTTCCCCAGGTCTTTAAATCCCTAAGGTCCCTATCATTCCCCACCATCTTTCATCCAGGCCCTCACGCATGTGCGTTCTGCCTGCTCCTACAGGCACCTGCATCTGCAGCCCTGGATGGAGACCCCTCGCTGTACAGGTGAGGAGACACATGTACAGACAGTAACTGGCTTCCCCGAATACAGTCAGCAGCTTGGGCAAGACAGGAATTCAGATCTACTGACTCCAAACCTGCAGATGAAATTAGGGCAACATTATCTCCCTGACAACACTCTCTTCAACTCAGCCGTACCAATCTGATAGGAGCCCGTCCAATCCCTCTTTCTGGGAAGGCCACAGCTTCCCGGATAATTCTTCAGGAACCATCTGCCAATGGAAACACAGGGTTTGCAAATATGGATTTCAAAAAATCAGAGCAGAGAGCGAAACAGTCCATGAAAACAACAGTGATGGTCGTGATGATGTGTGATGGTTATGACTTGGCCCGGGGCTGGCAGGCATTACTGAGCACTTACTTTGTACGGGCACTGTGCGAAGGAGAGGGGTCAGCCTGCCGGGCATGTTTGCCGGCTCTGCAGTTAGTGTGTCAGTTAAATAACTAACAGCTGATGCCTTTCCATTCTCACCGTCAGGTTCTCTGCCAGAGCCGCACACGGGTCCCCGGCCTGGGTAATGTCCGTTGTTGCCACAATGTATGTTTGAGTTCACAGTAGCCTCCAGTAAGGATGCTCACATTTTAGTGTAAAAAACATCCCCCTGTGCTTAAGGGGAGCTTATACCAAATGCAGGTTCCTGGATCCAACCCCAAGAGAGTTTGAGGAGGGCTAGGGGGGTCTAAATTTGTAGTAAAATCCCCAGGGGATTATGATACAAATGGTCCCCATTCCCCACATTGAGAAATACCACATTGGAGACCAGATAGAATATTACCCTTTAGGTACAATGCCCATCTGACATTGAGAGTTGTCTCCGATGCCATCAAATTGTACAAACCTTGACCGTTACAAAAAATAAAAGAGAAAAAGCCACCTAGATTGTGTTCCCTCCCTGGCAGCACGGAAGCCCCGCATGCCCGCTCCGTTCCGCACAGACCTGGGTGTGCTCTGGGACCCTCTCCCAGGAGGCGGGAGGCTACTCACTGGTGGAAAGGGAGCGGCAGAGGTTCCAGGGCTGACACCGGCACCAGGCCCCGCTGACCCGTCACCAGGGACATGCCTTCGCACTCGGACCCGCCGTCAGCTGTTTTCACTGAGATCAGCTCGCCCTCGCCGAGTGTCAGACACTCGCCTTCCTGCTCAGCTGGCTGAGCCACGGCACACGTGGCTCTGCAGAAGAAGTGGCCTGCAGATAACGAGAAAAGCCCTTCCGAGGAGTCTAGGGAAGCGGAAAGGGGTTATCACACTATGTCGAGTCTCTCTCCATGGCCCAGACACGTCTCTTTCTGGGAGAAAAGCACACAGTTGGTCAAGGGGGGAGAGGCCACTGCAGGAGATCCTTGTGATCCCAGAAAACTGGTATCAGAAAGAAAGCCACTAAGAGGAATTCACTTAAAACAGACACTGAAAGCCTGGCCGGTGTGGCTCGGCTGGTTGGTATCCTCCTGTGTGCCAAAAGGGTGCCGGTTTAATTCCCAGTCAGGGCATGTGCCCAGGTTTCTGGTTTGATCCCCAATAGGAGGTGTGCAGGAGACAGCCAGTCCATGCTTCCCTCTAACATCAATTTATTTCTCTCTCTCCCTCTCCCTTCCTCTATATCTAGAAATCAATAAAAATATTTAAATTTAAAAAATAGAAACTAAAAGTTCTGAGTAATTCATGAGACTAAGGTTTAATTGGCACTTCACCTTATTGAGTGGTCAGGTGGAGCCTTGATCCGACCCTTCCTTGCAAACAGATTGGTGAGAGCTTCAAGCAGTTCCTCAACATCCCTTTCTTCGATCTCACGAAACCTTTTAGGTTTTGCAAGATTTGCAATTTTATTTTACAATCAAATTCTAGCATACATTTAGAAAAGTGATTCTCAATCTTGGATGCACATTGGAATTATGTGGGCAACTTTCAAGCTATACCAAAGCCCAGGCCCCCACTCAGGAGATGTCACTAGCCTGGGTGGAGTCCTGGCAAGGGCATCTTCTAAACCACCCCCCCCCCAAGACACCCTGACTCATGTGGCTCAGTTGGTTGGGCATCATCCTGTGCACCGGTTAGATTCCTTGTTAGGGCGCAAACCCGAGTTCGGGATCAATCCCCAGTAGGGGATGTGCAGGAGGCAGCCCACTGATGTTCGCTCTCACATCGATGTTTCTCTCTCCCTCTCCCTTCTTCTCTATCTCTAAAAATCAATAAAATTATCTATATATATAAAAGGCAAAGTGACCATCCGACCATCTGGTACATATAACATACACTGACCACCAGGGGGCAGACGCTCAATGCAGGAGCTGCCGAGCTGCAGTGACTTGGCAGTGGCAGTTTTTAAACTTCATAATATTGCACCTAAAGCTAAAATAGATGTTGCTAAAACCCAAAATGAAACAATGGGAAATTTCCTTTCAATATGCACGAATCCATGCACTGGGCCACTAGTTTAAAAGTAATAAAATAAAATAAAAACTTCCCAAGTGGTTCCAACATGAGAGAATCAGTGAGGCTGCTCATGTGATGTCAACATTAAACTGAGAGAGATATTTGGGGTAATATTATAATAGGTGGGTTCATTTGTAAATATTAGTAAATATTAATGGTTTTTACCTCCTTTGTAACCTGATCATTTCAGGGACTTTGCAAATAAATACCCAGATAAGACCCCCACCCCTACTCCCTGCTCACCTTCCTGCGTCAGGAGTGCCAGGAATATTGTCTCCAAGTGTTTATCATCTACGGACACTTGGACCTCTGTGTCCTCCACCAATCCACAGTTGAGCCAGTACTTGTGGTCGAAGAGAAGATGCTCCAGACACGCAGACACATAGCCTAGGAAGGCAAGGCCACAAGGGTCCTGAGCAACATGACTGCGGCCACCAGCTGAGCACAGAGTGTGAGCGAGCCCCTCCTTAAGGTCCCTCCCAGGCTCTGGTCCCCAACTCATCCCCATTTCACTGGAATTGGAAGAGCATACGTTGATAGCTTAGCAATTTCTAGAATGAATTTATTCTTATCAGCATCTGTTAGGAAATACAAGTCATTTTAAGTGATATTTACCATTTCCAACACAGTTACGGGTCCATAAATGCATAGTGAGATGACCAAACCCCATTACCTTTTTCTAATGTAGCCACAGAGGAATCTCCAAGATGACAATGCTGAGTCTGGGGGTTCCTGGTTCCCCCTTCAAGTTCCCCTGAGCTGAGGCTCACATTCCTGTCCCCCTGGAGATACAGTGGCTGGGGTGGGGGTTCTCCATGGCCCACAAAAGAGCCAGGACTTTTTCAATATCCCCACTCTGATCCTCCGCCCCACGCAGGCCCAGTAAGCTCTCCTTTGTTAAAATCCAACCAGAAACCATGCAAATTGCAGAATCCTAACAATTATGGGTAGTACTTTAAGGAGCTACTCTGATCTTACTCAAGACCAGCTCCTTTTTGTAAACCACCAAGTTCACATCTATCTCAGCACTTTGAATTTAGTCTCGACCAGTAACTACTGCCAGTTGATGACTGTCTAATAAAGAAGTCTCTCCCTGAATACAAAGCAGTGCTGTGTTCGGCATTTTAGAGTAACAGTTAACATTGGCTTTCGGTTTAGTTCAGACATTCTGTGATATTTCAAAATTAACATCCATGTTAGGGCTCTACCTCTTTTAATGCTCTGAGCCAAACCAATTCCTTCTCGTCAAGCCCTGCAGCAGGGCGGCTCTGTGGCGTGGACGCTCGTCCCCCCGCCTGCTCCCTGCCGTACCTAAGCTCAGGTAGGTGGAGAACTTCCAGATTTCCTCCACGGTCTTGAAGGTGATGAGGAACTGGGCCTGCTGGGACTGGATGCCCACCAACCTGGCTGAGAGGTCCTGAGCAAAGAGAACGGTGAGTCAGCCGGGCAACAGTGTCCTGTTAACAAGCCCACAGGAGTACAAAATGCTTTGTATCAGTTTCTTAATTACGGCGCTGAATTTTACATCAAACACACACAAAAAGGAAAACAACCTGAATGTCCATCAGAGGAGACTGGTGAAAATGAACTATGGTTCATCCAGACAATGGGATTTGTGATGTCACGCAGCCAAGAAAGAATAAAGACACTCTCTATGCACTGATACAGCCTCCAAATATACCCTGCTAAACAGGACAATGGCAGTGACCACGAGAAACAACACCAGGGTGTAGAACCAAGTGCAGGGAATGCTACTTGTTGTGTAAATAAGATTTTTTAAAGTGGGGGGGGAGGGGAGATAAATCAAAGATGGCACCTTTTATTATGAATCTATGTCTACTGATTATTTTTATAAAGTTGGCCAACTACCCTCCAAAAAGGCTGATCTTACTGTTACGTGTTCACAAGCAGAGGGAGAGCAGATCGGCAAGCTCCCCCCACCCCCTTTTAATACCTGAGTCACTGACCAAACTTGGTTTTCCCCTGGAATCTGACTCTGTTGCTTGCCCACGCCTCTGGAGTTGACTGTAACGAGTGATGATCAGAAAGTCCCTGTCTCCCCAGGCCAGGTCCCACATCACTGATCAACCCCTGGAGCCCTGACCTGGGAGAAGCTTGGGGAAAGAAGAGGATGGAAGGACCCGAAGGAAGAGCTCCGCCCTCAGCAAAGCCAGAGTCCTGGTGTTCTGCCGTAGCGGGCCCCGAGGCCCAGGTCCTCAGGATGAAGGGCCCAGTACTCAAGGCAGGGGTCTGGGCAAACATTGGTCTACAGAGAACTTACTATTTGTCAGGTACTCCACCAAGAGCTTTATGAGCAATGCCTCCTTTAATTCCCACAGTAACCCCAGGGAAAAGTACAATTACAGTACTTAATCCATTCTAAAATCATTGTTAACACATTTAACCATTTCTGACACCAAAGATAAGAAAGCAGTGGCTCAGTGGATAGAGTGTCGGCCTGCGGACTCAAGGGTGCCAGGTTCAATTCCGGTCAAGGGCATGTACCTTGGTTTCGGGCACATACCCAGTGGGGAGTGTGCAGGAGGCAGCTGATTGATGTTTCTCTCTCATTGATGTTTCTCTCTATCCCTCTCCCTTTCTCTCTGTAAAAAATCAATAAAATATATATATAAAAAAAAAGAAAGCATGACATCATACTTAATGGGCAGCATTTATTTTCATCCTTAGAGGTAAACAAAATAATGGTGCGTTTTATAATCAAAGGCCATTTCAGGTTAAATGGAAAATGGGATTATCTGTCTTACAGTCAAGGAGGCCGGGGAGACAGGTTAAGCAGGTCGCCCAAGGTCACCTGCGAGTGCACTGTGGCACCCGGCCTAGAACCAGGTGACGCCAGGCCTCAGCGTTCCCCAAAAGCTGGCCCTGCTGGAGCCTCAGCCCACAGACCCACTCACTAAGCCAAACCCAGTTCTTGCCCATGCCCAAAGCAACCTAGGTTAAAAGACACTGCTCGCTTAGGCAGCACATATACTAACATTGGGACGATATGAAGAAGATTAGCATGGCCCCTGCGCAAGGATGACATGCAAATTCGTAAAGCGTTCCATATTTTTTTAAAAAGAAAGAAACTCTACGGTTCCTGAATTCTGAAAATTTAAAACCAAAACCACCCTATTGTTTATGTGATTTACTAGGCATGGAGCACTTAGCGTCCCCCCCCCCCACCGCCCACCCCTCCCCCCCAGCACAATGCCCAGCTCTCTGCAGAACTGTCTCATTCACTCCTCCCCAAAGCACAGATGTGATCATCGGTTACATGACAGAGTAATAAAGCACGCTTCTCTTTTAAATATGTATCAGATGAATGCGGAGCCTATAAAAATAACTAGAACATAAGTTTATTGTGTCAAGTATTGTTTTCCTTCCCCCACCTCTACTGCAACAACTTTTAACCAATTTTGACTGTAGCTCTCCCAGTAAATGCCTCCTGAACTGTACGCATTTGGGTCATGCTCTTCTCCCTGGGTTTAACAATCGAAGGTAATATCTTCCCACTATGGAAGATCAGAAATCGGTTTACTTACCTTATTGCCTTTTCCTTCTCACATTCTAATATTTATAGTTACTAATTCTTGATTGACAATTTTGATACTTTAAAAAAAATGGATACTTAGTGGTTAGTAGTGGCTAAGAAAGGGGATGGAGGGCAGTTATTGCTTAGTGGGTACAGTTTCAGTTTGCGATGATGAAAACGTTCTGGAATGACAGTGGAGAGGGTAGCACAGCAATGTGAATGTGCTTAATGTCACCGAACTGTACACTTCAAATGACTAAATTCACTGAAATGTATGTTTTATATATATTAGCACAATAAAAATAATAAAATTCAAGTTCACCAATTTTTTGAAGTATACTTAGTAAGGTAGGGATAGTGATTCCCATCCTACAGAGGTTACACAACTTGGGATCGTCACACAGCGAAGGATGGCAGATTTGAAAGGAAGTTTTCTCTGGCTCTGCAACCCCAGGGGCTCCCCGAATCCCAGTTCCTGCCTCCTGCTGAGCAGAGAATGTGTCCCTCATTTGTTCAGCCAGATGTTTTCTCGAGAGCCCACTTAGTCCCAGTGCTGTCTTGGGTGCTGGGAGCCTGTAGCAGAGGATGCACAGGCTGGGCGTTCCTACGCTCTGCCCAAGCTCACCTTAAACAGAGCACGCACCTCCTGGTCCTCGTTCTCCAGCGCCCAGAGCCGCCTCCTGGCTGCTTCCTGCAGGGGGCCATTTACACACCTCCTGGAGCGGCTCTTCACACTGAAGGAGAGTGTCAGGTCTGAAAGAGAACAGGGAGCCGGATGAGGTCGGGAATGCAAAGGGAGGAAAGAACTAGATAAGCACCAGTGTTTCCCACATCTAAACCCTACAGGGCTGCCCTCATTACTTAGAGGTTACGGGTGATCCTAACGATGCTCTGAGCACCTCCTTGAAACTGTCCCCCAGAAAGAAATGCTGAGGTCCGGATGCCCGGGAATCCCAGGACTTGGTGCACTTGGGTGGGTTATTTCTGCTGTGAGCCAGGTTATTCCTACGCTGCCTGGCACTGAGGTGACAATGCCGAAGCTGTCGCTGAACGTTCACCAAGCACATCAAGCATTCGCTGGAGAACCTGTGGGGACATATACTTCCTCCTGCAGATAACCTGTGAAAGTTTCTAACTATTTGTGTATTTAGGAAAATGCATTCATATGTCACACTTATGGATTATAATAGATATGATATACTTTACGCATTTTACATACACACATTCATTGTCTCTAACCTGTCTCTTTCTGATAAGCATTTATTAATGTTTTTGGGTAATTGGTTAATTATTAAAATCTATCTTTAATTTCTCAAATGGCACATTGAATACTGCGAGCAGACACTGTTTTAAGTGCTGGACACAGAGGGAAACCTAGTGGCATGGTCCCTGTTGGGGCACTTGGAGGTGGGGTGTGCCTTTGGGCAGTGTTGTCAGGAAAGGCCACACTCAGGAGGTTCACCTTAGAACTGCACTTTGCCCGGTATCTTCTTTAGAGAACCAGTAGCAAGGCCATTACTAATTATCAAACACAATAACCCCCTTCCAGCCCAAACTTACCAGGACCTCAGCAATTCCCGAGCACATTACAGATGGCCCCTATCACACAGGCCTGGGGCCACAGGGCAGTCCTGGGCCCCGACCGTGGAGAGGCCTGTCTTTGACCCAGAAGTCCTGAATGTGCTGTGGCTGTAGACCAGCTCCAACATGACATGCGCAACTGACCTGGCATTGGCGTGAACTTCAGTTGGATGACTGTTGCCTCCCGTTCCTCCCTGGCCTGTGTTCTAATCTCATCCAAGCCCTGCATCGTCGGCAGTCCAGGTCCACCCTCCGACGGGCAGCCCCTCTGCACACGGATCTCTAGGAGGAGGGGATGTCCGGGGGGAGGAGTCACACAGACCTGGGCTCAAGGCGTGGCTCTGCCCTTGCTAACTGCACCACCTGAGCAGTTAATTACTTCCCTGTGCTTGACTTTTCTCATTAGCAAAATGGCTGTTAGAGTACCTGTCCCACAGGGGTTTGCAGAGGCTTACTAAACAAGATAATGCACATAGAGGCTTTGTCTGGTGCCTGGTACATTCTAAATGTTCACTAAACACATTAAGCATTAGCTGTTGCCCCTCGCAAATCCCCAGGCCCACCCCAGTACTCCAGCAATCACTGCTCTCACTGCCCTCATCTGTCACATCTATATTTAACCTTGACTCTGAGCCTCTGATTCCTTTTCACCAGACTTGTCTGTTCTGTTCTTGCAAAACCTAAACCAAACTCCCCTCTGGAATCTCTCTGGTAATGGCCCCTGGTGACTGACAGCCCCCCTCTATATAAATCCCCTTGCCACGCATGCCCATGCATCCTTGGATATGACACTCAAAAGACCAGGATGTAAATAAGCAAACTGCTTTTGAGATCCCAGCGAGTGAGAGCTAATACTCGGAGCGGAGCCTCTGGGCCCACTGCGGGATCCTGCAGTGCCCTCTGCACCACCAGACAGGGGCGAAGTCAAGTCCACTCTAGTTCACGGCAAAGTGCATTTTGTCATATTTCTGTCTGGCCTTTTCATCATAATCATGTATCTGATTGATTCTGTCTGCAACTCTTCCTTATAAAGGAGAGGTTGGCAGCGGGAGCCGAGTCCCCCCTTCTCTCCCCGTGACCTTCCTGGAAGCAGCGCCCTGGCAGAAAACACTGAAAAAGGAACAAGTTCAGCCTCGGTTGACTAAGTTTCACCTACACATACCCCTTGTTCATTGGCCTTGGCCTTTGGGCACAGATAAGGCAAAATGCTGACTCCACTGTGTTCATGAAACAGCAGATGGGGATGCAGCTTTTGGCGGGCATGGCCCCAGCTGACAGGCAGACGAGCAGATTGACACAAAAGAAGGAAGCGAAGGGGAAGGTTTTGCTTATTGCCAACCAAGCAGTTTGACAGAATTTGGAATTAGGAAAAGAACAAACCTGGTAAGACACTTATACAATATCGATTTACATGACTGATGTCAGAAAGAACATTCATAACGTAAACCTTTTCCACAAACCTGTTGTCTGCTGGAGAGAAATGCATGATTGGAGGGGCCATGGAGCGTGTGGTTGTGAAAAAGGACCGGGTTTGAATGCCTTTCTCATCACCTATTAGCTGTGGCAGTGGGGAAGTCGCCTCCCGCTCGGAGACTCCGTTTGCCACCTTCAGAATGGGGAGTGTGGCGCCACCTCCCCGAGGTGAGTGAGGCAGGATGGGCAGAACATACGAGGATCACTCAGCACACGCTTGGCACAAGGTTTGCCCTCAAAAATGGCCCCTTTTACTACACGACAGAAACCGAGTCTTCTACAGGTTTATCCTCAGGGTCTCGGGTACAAGGGTCGGCCCAGGAGTAGCTCTCTGATGACAACTCTCCCTTTGCCAGCTTCCCTGAGGTCTCTTAAGGGACCCTTGTGAGAGGCATGCATTGAGAATAAGATTTTTCTCACATTAATTTCAAAATCTTTTTCTGCTTCTGAACAATTCATACAGATGCCCTTCTGATCAGTCAATCACCTCACACATTCAACCCTTTATTCACTTATTCATTACGTTAACAAATATTTATTGAGAACCTACAATGTAGAAGGTGGTGTCAGGTAGTATATAGAATACAAATATGACTACCACATATTTGTTCAACTATTGCTGTATTTATTTACCAGACATTTTCCAAGCACCAGCTATGTACAAGTAATTCCTTTAGATACCATGTAGATTACATAATTATTTAGGAAAAATTACCCCTGATTTTAAAATTTAACCAAATTAATTTTTGTTAGTACAAGAAGTATGAATGGAGCTCCTAATATGTGCCAGATTGTGAAGAGTTTTGAGTATCAGCCTGAGGAGGTTTAACTTAATCTTGACAAAGGAGAGCATTGGAAGACTGGTGAGCAAGGCAATGTCACAGTCAAGGTCATGCATTTTGTGGTGGTCCTAGCAAGGATAAGGGGAAGGGAGCCTGCAGTTGGGAGTGGCCAGGAGGTTGCTGCAATATTCTACATGGAAAATGTTTGTTTGTTTTTAATAGGGTTTGTCTTTAGGGTTTGGATACCTGGAGTCATGTTCTGTAACAGGAAACATCTTTCCTTATCTTCAGGTGAGGATCTAAACTCACTCGATATGGCTGGATCCTTGGAAAGAGTTTCTTTACCTGGAAGAGATCAAATGAAAGATCACTGTGAAAGTGTAAGCAAGGTATAAACAAGGACTGAGAGCTTTTCTCCAGGGCTGGTGGCATGGAAGACTTCTATCACCATTGCCTTATAATTATTTATGATCAACTATGATCCAAAAAAACTGTCACACATGCCATCTCAATCATGCGACAGTCACAGTTTCCCCGTTTTATTAAAATAGAAACAGATTTCCACCCACAGGCCAGACTGAGTCCCTTGGCATGGTGCACTGAAAGTGCGGAATATATGTTGGGTCAACAAGGTCATCATAGATCTGACTATAGCGTTGTTTAAGGACAACAGAAGTGCTGGAGCAGAACAAGGGAGAGTGGCGTTGTTGGGGAGATGGCTGGGGCATGGCTGTAATAATCCTGAAACATATGAATGTCCCCAGACTGTCCTTCTGTCTGCCCACTAAATAGAGTCCTGTATGGGACGTCTCTCGTCCCCAGCTCTCCAAATGTTTGTCTTTGCAGCTACAGAATTGGAGTGAAAAGGATAAAAAAGAAGATTGTGACACAGGCCAGGGTTAGGGAGAAGGCTATTTTGATGGCAGAGAGTTGAAAAGAGAAGAGAGTGTGGCTAAAAAGCATGAGGCAGTAGATATATACAGGGTGTGCCAAAAAAATGTATACACGTTTTGAATAATTATTAATTCCAATGGGTTAAATTTGAAAAGAAAGAAACATCAATTGAGCTATCAGCTGTTAAAGTGTGTGTACATTTTTGGGGATATCCTGTATATGTAAAAAAAAAAAAAAGAACAGGGGAATTTCACAAGTATGGCTATGGAAAGTGGGTCTCCTTTATGGCATCCCCCAAATACAAAAGAATACATTACTTTTGGTTACTCTGTTCTTTTGACCATGACATTGCTCAAGGACTAGACCATGGGGTCTGAATCATATATTACCTGGCCCTGAAAAGAGGGGTTAGCAATCTTGGCAATCACTGTTCGAGTCACTCATTTAATCCCCCCCATTTCTTCACTTGCACAATGGTGGTGGGTCAAAGTCAAGCAGTGTTCACTCTAGACCAGGGGTGGGCAACCCCTGGCATGCGTGCCAAACATGGCACACCAGTAACTTTTGCTGGCCCTCGAAACCCTCTCTTATAATCTTCCATGTACAATTTTTTTTCTTAATATTGACTTTTTTAATTTTTCAGATAAATTCAGTGTAGGTGCATCTTAGATAAATAAATAATTTTACATAACATGTATACATTAAAACATAAATGTATTTTTCATCATCAGATACTGTGTTTTTGTCGCTCGAATGAATTTTATTATTTCTTCAAGGTTCTTCACATATGTACACCTTAAGAGCTATCAAGTAGGTGTAACATGTTCTCAAAAAATTAGGGTTGGCACGCAGAAGAATTCTGAGTCAGAGATTTTGCTGGTTTTGGCATGCACTCACAAAAAGGTTGCCCACCCTTGCTCTAGACCTTTGCTGCTGGTGATGCAGCCCAAGCATGATAAATGATCGTGCAACCATGCTCCATACGGTCACAGCCGGTTCACGCCGAACCCAAATCCTCATCTTGCTGCCTGGAGTCTGTGCCTCCTTCTGTGCCTGTGCAGCGGGTTTTGAGATCCAAGTGGAGGACTTCCATTTCTTTGTATAGAAAACAGTCCATCCTCTTTTGGTGGTGAACAGGGAGAATGAAGTGGATTTTGGCTTAAACTGGCCGAAGGAGGGGCCCATCAGCTCGCAGCCCTTCATCCGGTAAATCTCGGTAGGGTTCAGCGCCAAAAGCTAAGCAGCTTAGCTGGAAAGCTGGCGATAATGAGCTCTAGTTGAACAGGATCATTTCATAGTTCTGCCCCCAGGAGCCAAAAGTAACTGTAGCAAAAGGACAATGGCTTGGGAATCATGAGACATGAGGTCGGGCACCATCAGATCCTCCCATACATCAGTTAGGTGACCTTGGGCAAGACATTCCATGTGTCCGTTTTTTGAGATTTCGCTTTTCCCACCATATATGAGGGACTGACCTAAATCAGTGCTTCTCGACACTGGCTGCCTATGTGAAGCACCCAGTTTGATTTTTTAAAACACCAGTGCCTACCCTCATCTCCATAAATGCTGATTTCTGTGGTCTGCAGTTAGCCCAGCCACAGGTATTTTTTTAAGTTCCCCAAATGCTTCTAATTTGAGTCAGTGTTAAGAACCACATGTCTACATCGGAGGTCCTCAAACTTTCATGTGCATGTGAATCACCTGGGGATATTGATAAAAGGCAGATGCTGCTTCCGGAGTTGAAAGCCTGAGGGTCTGCATTTCTCCCATAGTCCCAGGTGATGCTCCTGCTGGTCCCAGGGTCACAATCGGAGTGGCAGCCTGCTTCGCTACTCTAGGACAAAGTTTGGAGACTGGTAGACCAGAAGCCACAGGCCACAGAAAACCCACAAATATTTCTTCTTTTTCTATTTTTTTCCCCCACACAGTGAATTTTAAAGTTTGAATTGCTTGGCATCATTTAGAAATTGGGATATTTTGCATAACTCGGATGCTTGGCTTTGCTTTGAGAACTGGAAGACCTACAGCCCAAGGCCCTCTCAGTGGCAACAGTCAGCCGAGGCTGTGGTTGCTGCCGCTTGACAGGGCATTTGTTCTCCGGCCACACATCCCCCACACTGACAGCTCACTCATTTGCCCCCAGCCTCAGCAAGCCCTGAGAGTGTATCCCTGTTATAGGACAATGAGGACCCATAAATGAGTCCACCTTGAAGAAGGAAGGCCAGGATGGTGGCCCTGGTTGGGGGGCAGGGGTGGAGGGTGGGTGCACAGCTCTTAAAGATGTGTGAGGTTTAGAGAAGAAAATTGCAGAATTTCACACAACACGCTTGTTTTGTAAAAGATACCTGTACAGAAAACTTGTAGAAAAATATAGAAGAATATCTGCATGACTTGGAGTGGCCATTGATTTTCTAAATAGGATGGAAAAGCACTACTCACAAAAGAAATAATGGATAGCCCGGCCAGCATGGCTCAGTGGTTGAGCATCGACCTATGAACTAGGACAGTGATGGCGAACCTATAACACGCGTGTCAGAGGTGACACGCGAACTCACTTTTTGGTTGATTTTTCTTTGTTAAATGGCATTTAAATATATAAAATAAATATCAAAAATATAAATCTTTGTTTTACTATGGTTGCAAATATCAAAAAATTTCTATATGTGACACGACACCAGAGTTAAGTTAGGGTTTTTCAAAATGCTGATACGCCGAGCTCAAAAGGCTCGCCATCATTGAACTAGGAGGTCACGGGTTGATTCCCAGTCAGGGTACATGCCCAGGTTGTGGGCTCCATCCCCAGTGTGGGGCATGCAGGAGGCAGTCAATCAATGATTCTCTCTCATCATTGATGTTTCCATCTCTCTCTCCCTCTCCCTTCCTCTCTGAAATCAATAAAAATATATTTTAAAAAAAGAAATAATGAATAAATTGGAATACATCTAAATTAGAAAATTCTGTTAATCAAGAGATGCAATTAAGAGAGTAATAAGTAAGTGACAGAGTAGAAGAAAACATAGGCAATATGTATATTTATCAAAGAGCTAGAATCCAGAATATACAAAGAATGCTAATACATCTTTATTAGGTAGGCAACCATCTAGAAAAATGGGCAACAAGCTTGGATAGGCATTTTATCAAAAACAATATCTGAATGGCCAATACATTTATAAAAACCTTTTCAAGCTCATCAGGGAAATGAAAACTAAAATCACAATGAAGCACCTTTACACAGGCCAGCTAAAATGAAAAAGACAGATAAAGCCAAGTGTTTGTAAGGATACTCATAAACTAGAACCACATTTATGGCAAGTGTGTAAGAATAAGTTTTGAAAATTTTCATTTTGGAAAACTGTTTGAGAGTTTCAGTTCAAGCTGAGTATATCCATTTATACACATGCATAAGATTCAGCAATTCCAATTTTGAATAGATATATACTCAAAATAGTACACACATATGTTCACCAAAATATATCTACTAAAATATTCAGAGCAGCACTATCAATAAGAACCAAACCCTGGCAACAATACAGATGTCCATTTGCACTAGAATGGATAAGTGAATGGTAGCATGTACAATGAAATACCATGCAGCAATGGGAATAAATGAGTTACTGCCACAGAAAGCAGCACAGATGGATATATTCACCTTGTGGAAATTCAACAAGATGTACACATCTAACTTTATGCACAATTTTGTATAAATGGTAAATTTTAATAAAAGGACAAATTTTAAAATATTCCTGGCGCCCGTCTCTACCTACTCTACCTCAGAATATCTAGGGGTAGACTGGGATGTGTGTTTTTAATTAAACGTCCGGGATTTCCGATGTCCCCTAGAGCAGCGGTCGCCAACCTTTCTGACCTCATGGACCACCAGTGTGCACAGAGGCAGCCAGCTCAATGGATGCTTTGGGAAGCGTGAGCCAGAGGCCAGCTCCTTGAGAAACAATAAGGAATCTGGGACATGAAAGTGAGTTTTATAATAGGAAGAGCAGTTAATAGTTGCACAGGATTTACAGTTATAAAGCTTTTTCATATATGGAATTACATAAAATTCGACATGAAGGAATTTCAAGATCTGAGCTGGGCCTTGTGAAAGAACCAGACACTATTGAAGGCAACAAAAAACTATTATGTAGAATAAAGTACGTTAGGGAAAATATATGGTATTTTAATAACTGAAAGGAAATAACCCAAAAGGCCCATGGTGGCTATTGCTGAGTTATTTTAAATTATCTTTCCTATGCTTCTGCCTACTTTCCAAATATTCTGTATTGTCTTCTAACACTAGAGGCAGGTGAGGCAGTGTCTGGGAACAAAGACTCTGCAATCAGACAGTCCTGGACTCAAAGCCTGGCTTCTTCATTAGCTTAGCCATGTGACCTAGGAGAACCCAGTCTCTGTGGCTCAGATGAGGCTGCCTCCCTTCATCCCTAACTCCAAACGTGGTCACAGGACTCAGCATAAGTGAATCGAGTATGCTCTGCCGTAGCCATGCAGCCAAAGTTAAGCCCATGAAAATTGGTCGTACGACACTCACCAGCACTCTTAGGGAAGAGAAGATTTCTTTCCACTGAACTTGAAGCTGTGAATGTGACAGCGTGGAGCTGTAGGTCCCACCACAGAGAGAAAGCCTGCCTGAGGATGAGACCAACCTAGTACAAATAGAGCTGAGGAAAGAGAACTTCCTGATAACATTTTTGGACATCTTGATGAAGCCATACCTGAAACAAATAACCTCCGGACTTTTCACTTATGAATCAATAAATTACTTTCTGGAAGCTAGTGTCTTTATTATTAATACTGGCTAGATAAAGTTACTAACACTTAATTCAGAAAACTCTGAGATTTATTTAAACACTATCAAACTACTCTCCAAAGTGGCTGCAGCATTTTGCTTCCCCTTAGCAATGTGTGAGAGCTCCAGTTGCTCCACATCCTCACCAATACTTGACTGTGTTGCTCGTTTTCATTGTAGCCACTCTATAGATGCGCAATTTTATCTCATTATTTCAGTTTGCATTTCCCTAATAACTAATGATGCTGAGCACTTTTTTCATGTGCTCATTTGCCATCCATATAGTCTCTGAATGACAGAAAACTGTGGCAGAGTCGGGCACCACACAGATCACTGGGTGCAGACCTTGCTGTTTCCACTACATGAACCTGACCTCAGAAATCTGAGGTTTAAAGTCTCTAATCCGGGAAACGTCTAACTCACAGAAACTTGCTGGAAATGAGAATCCACTCCCATTTCTCCTATCTTACCCTGGCATTCTCCTTCAATCTCCTATTATTACACTGATGATTAGTATTTACCAAAAAGGTTGAAAGGGAAGTTACAAACAGGATCAATGTAGGCAAATATATCTCTCCCACAGCAACTGTTTAAGGGTGTAAGTCTGCCAAATTTCTTCAAGAATGTGTTGAAAATAAGGAGAAAGTGCTAGGAGCTTTTAAACAGACAAACTTCGATGTGGCTTGGTCTGTACTCCTACGTGAGCAACTGTCATTTATTAAACAATGGCAAGAACATTTAAGGGTCCTGGACGTCAGCGATGATGGCAATTGACCAGTAACTCACCCTCTCACCACCTGCAGTCAGGAGATTTATGTGAGCAAATGAGAGACATCACAGGGAACTAATGCTGCAGGCAGCATGCACGTGTGAGAACGCAGCATGCCTGGGGTTGTCAGAACCAACATCAGTCATTGTGTCACACAGCAGCAAGTCAGCTGGGCAGCCAGCCAGGGTTCAGTTCTATCAAGAACCTTCTCCTTTGCTGCCTCCCTTACCCCTGAGGACTGTTGATCCTCACTGTTTACTCCCACTTACACAGACACAATGGCAGGAGCAGCCAAAGAATTACGAGCACAGACTCCTAGTCCTATGGAGTCAGGAATTAGGAAGAAGGAACGCTGGAGTGGTCCCTGCTAGCTAACAATAAAACAGCCCACAATTACTGAGGGGTTTTCAGAAGCCAGACCCTGTGCTAAATCCATGAGATGAATGATCTGATTTAACCCTCACAAATGCTCCATGAACTAGATACTACCATTAGATCCAGTTTACAGACAGGAAAACTAAGGTTTGACGAATAGAAAGCAGAACTAAAATGAAGTCACTAGAGTCAAGTTGCAAAATAACTAAAAGCAAATAGGTTGAGGTATGAGGAAACAGTTCTATTCTTGTTTTAATGAGCCTGGGAACCTACACCTTTGAACTTTCCAGTCTTGGGTCAATACATGATATCCATCAAACCTCCAGATAACCCTCTGATTACCCCTTAAAGGGCAAGGAAAGAGTGTTCATACCACCTGAGATCCATTATCCAGACCACCAGTCCTCTAGAGGATTAGCATCTTGGACCCATACAGAGTCTAAGAATGTAGGACTGATTCTTCTCAAGAATGTACTCCTCACTGTAAGAATCCTTGGTTTTTCTTGCTTCTGCACACCACTCTGGGTATTGCTTAGTTGTGTTTTCAGTTTGCAAACCTCAAGACCCTTGAATAAATGTTTATCTTTTATTTCTACCCAAAGCCTCCTGTTGTATACGATCATTTGACAGGTTCAAAGAATATAAGAGACTTGCCCAAAGTCACACAATTACAGTGGGGCCTTGACTTACGAGTGTCCTGACTAACGCGTTTTTCGAGATACGAGCCGTCTCTCGGACGATTTTTTGCTTTGAGTTGAGTTGCGAGCTAAAATTCGGGTTACGAGCCAGCTTCAGATACCCCACCGCTGGTTGGCACAGCAAACGTCACAGTGATTTGACATACAAGTAATTTGAGTTACGAGCTCCGTCACGGAACGAATTAAACTCGTAAGTCAAGGCCCCACTGTATTAAGTTGCTCCAGGATGTGTCTCATATTTTGTTCCACTTTTCTAGGATAAATAGGGGCACCTAGAAGGGGATGTTTATGTCAACTGGCCTCAGACCTACAGCACTTCTATCAACACCCTAAGAAAGGGCCCTGAGAAGTATGGAGAACAATATGGGAGGGTGTCATGAAAAGCCTCAATAGAAATAAATAGCAAGCCGACTCTTGGTGAAAAAGTGAATCTAGAATGCCAACCAGTTGTTAATAGCAAAGTCAGGTAAACCAATAAAATAACTGAATGAGAGTGTTGAAGAAGTTTGAGGTTGTTTTTCTCAATAGTGGTTCATTGGTGGGTTTGAACTGTAGAATTCTCTTACATGAAATCTGGGGCTGAAGGACAGGACAGCAAACAGAAGTAGAGTTGCTACATCAGAAGCTGAGGTCAGGGAGCAGGAGCAGAGGTCCCGAGACACCGCCCAGGGCGAGTTCACAACCCCCTCATTTTACAGATGAGCAAACGGAGGCCTAGAGGGAGAGTGTGATGTGCCGGGGCCATAGACATGTAATTGATGTGGCTGACATTTATTGTGCTTAATCAACTGTGTACCAGGTTGTTTCACATGTAGTCTTAATCCTCATATGAGGAAGACAGTCATATCATAAAATCTACACGAGGAAACTGAAACACAGAGAGGTTAAGTAAATTGCTCAACACAAGTTAAGGAACAGAGATGAAACCCAGGCATTCTGGCCTCAAAGGCCAGGTGATTAACCGTGATGATGCCTGCCTCAGTGGCATTGTTTAGAGGTTTGTTTACTTATAATTTATAGATCTGGGTTGGCCTTAGTCTGGGAGCCTCTCCCTGCTGGAGGTGCCAAGGTGCTCAGGCTCCAGAACACGGCTACTTCCCGTTCACTTTGGCATTGGCCAGCCCAAGTAACGGGACCCCCGGGGGAGTCATCTGTCAGAGAGTAGAAAGCTTTGTCTAGGGGTTCTCCTGGGCTCCCGCTCCAAGGAACCATGGTGGTGCTCCAGGAAGAGATGATATGCCAGGTAGGGTTAGGAATGGTTCCTTGTGTGATGCTCTTCTATCTCCTCCCTAGCTCTCCCCCAATCCAATCACCCCCACCCCAAAGCTGCCATTCATCCCGATAAATGCCATTCGCGAGACCGCAGGGCCTCACCTTGGTCCTGCTCTGAAGAGAAGCAAGGAACTTGCATTAGGGTGACCAACCATGCCGGTGTGCCTGGGACTGTCCCAATTTTAGCCTTAACTAGAGCCTGGGGGAGCCCTCCGTCCCAGGCAGACCCGGGATGTTGGTCAGACAATGACAAGTCTCAATGGCTTGACACTCGCTTAGAGCAATAATTCTCCGTGGCTTCAACTTGACATACCAAAACAGTATATCACCCTGCAACAGGTAGGAGGCAGGAAACGCCTGTTTTTCTTAGTAATAGCAACCCTGACGAAAATAGGGTTTGAGGGACGGAGGCCAAGTTTATGACCACCCGTGGACCCCAGAGGAACTCGCAGCCGGAGCTTTCTTCCTGACCTAGGGAATCTTGGGAAGAAAGGAAGGAAGGGCTTAGTCACACCCTGGGAGTGGCAGCCAAGAGCAATACTGCTCCTCACAGCGCCAGCTCCCAGCCTCTCTCTTCAGGAAAAGTAGATGTTTCCCGAGCTTTATGCCCTTTTACAAAGCCAGAGTGACAAACACTGACGGAGGGAGGAGGGAGCCAGAAAGCACAACCACCTCCCCGACTTTGGAAGAGCAACTTCCCCACCCCAGCAGACCCCTGATCTTTCACTGAACCAACCACCTCAGCCAAGACACAGGCCAGGGCCCCCCAGGAAACTCACCTGGGCCCCAGGACAGACTCCGCTCCCTGGGGATGCAGAAGCAGCCACCCATGTGTTCACCATCCTCCACGGGCCGAGGACCCTGGGAACACCAGCCAGAAGAGCACTCCCAGGGCACAGCCTCCCCACGGTGTTCCTCCTCCCGCCTACTCCCTGGCACACGAGGGACCAAGGCCCTGGCTCAATGCACAATGCAGCCTTTGAAATCCCGGCTGCAGCAGGAGGCCCAGGGAGGATGGGAGGGGCCGCCCAGCCCTCAGGCCCCGCAGTCCTTGCACTGCCCGGCCTCTGCCTGGAAGCAGAGCTCCTCCCTGCCTCTCCGCAGACTGCTTCATGCCTATCAGGCTGTGGCACATTCCTGGCATTCTAAGACTCAGATACACAGTTTGGTTCTTGTGGGGGCAGCCAGGGCGGAGGAGGAGGGCAGAGAGCAGCCCAGGAACCAGGCTGCTGTTCTTGCTCCCTCTCTGACTGACTTGGCCTCACTGACTGGCCTGCCACGGGGAAAGGGATTCCCCACCCAGCCTCTCTCTGCAATCACCTCCGTGGCATCTGCATGAAGCTGAAGCAGGGGCTGCGGGTGCGGCATCTCACCTCAACCCCAGCAGCACCAGTGAGCCAACTGCCTGCTGGTGAAGGTGCAGCGCCCCAGCCCGGGCTCCCAAGGTCCTGGTGAGAAGAAATCCGGGAAATCGCCTGATGTAGCCCAGCGTCTTACAGGTGAGAGGGTGGAGGACAAGGTATGTTAAGGCTACAGTATGCACAAAAATACTGGTCACACGGACCAACCTCTTCCATTTTGGATAGTCAGCAGAGCAGGGGAATGCAATTGACACAGTGTGGCTGAATCTCAGAAAACCTCTCATGACATCTCCCGAAGGGGATGGAGCAAATATGGCTGGATGCCAACAAGGTTAGACATAGGCACAGGTGATCAAACAACCACGCTCAAGGATCACTCGTTACTTAATGTTTCTTTAATGCCAAGAGCAAAGGTCAGTGGTGAGTGGACCGAGAGTGAGGAGGTGTGGGCCGAGAGAAAGCGGGGTCCTGACAGCCGGCCTTGCGGGCTACTTGGAGGATGGACTTGAGGTCCCGCTCGCAAGCATTTTAAGCAGGGAGGTGGCCTGGTCAAGTTAAATTCTGGAAGGAGCGCTAGGGTGACAATGGGAAGGATGGCCCAGGGGTCCATCTCACTGGAGTGGTCAGGAGTGTCCACCACACACACCAGCTCAACCACAGGTGACAGCGTGTCGGCTGTGTCTCTGAAGTCTGGCTTCCGTTTCAAACCTGACTCATCTTGACTCCCAGTTTACTACGGACCAGGCGCTCATGATACATCACTGCACTTAAATCCCATAATGTAGGCATTATCACCTCTATTCATGAGTGAGAAACTAATGGAGACGGGTGTGCAACTTGCCTAAGGCCCTGCCATGTATGGTGTCAGATTCAGGACTTGAGCCGGTCTCCTTGCTTCCACGGCCCAGGGCTTCACTCTTCTGATTATGGGCTCTTTTCATGACTCCACTGAGGAAGGATTATTGGGCAGGTGGGGGGCAGAGGGGCAGGGGCAGGGGCAGGGAACACAGGATCTCTCTGATCACAGCACCACATGCAGGATGTTTAAAGCATCCACTTCCCATAATGTGCCCCACGCCTCTCCCCTCACCAAGGAATGGTGTTTAAGTGTGAATTAGGATGTTTTCTTGGGCCCAAGATAAAAGGGCAAGGGCTTCTTTAGGAAGCAGCCACTGGAAGTGTGGGGAGGTATGTGAGAATCAGACAGTGAGGAGAAACCATGGTCTCTCTTGCACATGGCAGCAAATGCTCAGACTTGTCCTTTCTCCTTGACTTGCCTGCACACCATTCTCATACAGGCACAGTGATAGAGATCAGAAATGGCAAATGGTTCAGATCAGCCAAGGGAAGGCCATCTGTCATAGATGACAGACACCCGGAAGCAGTGGACTAAGACACACATTTTGGCAAATCTGAAATGAATGGTCCATTCTGGATAAAGTCATTGCTTTTCTTGAGATACAAGAAACTAGTGCTATTCTGCTCTGGGTAGCTCAGATGAATCAACCAGAACAAAGAGCTTTCCAGGCAGAGAGAGTCGCAAGCGCAAAGGCGCTGAGTCTGGACACTGTGTGGCATGTTAAAGGGAAAGCATGTGTGATTGGAGTCCAGTGAGGCAGGGCAGGGCACAGAGATGAGGCCAGAGAAAGCAGCAGGAGGTCAGAATGTGTAGGACCTAGAAGGCCATCTAAGGACTTTAGCTTTTACTCTGGGTGAGATGGGAGCCAACGGAGGACACTAATAGAGGAGTCCTATGATTGACTTAGTGTTTTAAAGGGTCACCCTGGCTGCTCCTTGGAAAATAGGCTCAGCTGGCATGCCGGGTATGCAGCAATTGTAACGTCTGAGGGAGAGACAATGATGGCTTGAACAAGAGTGAAGTTAGTGGAAGTGGTGAGAGGGGCTTACGTGTTTGACATGTTTTTCAATGAAAAGTATATTAGTCAAGGTTCCCCAGAGAAACAGAACCAGTAGAATATATAGTACCTGTGGTGCCAGGAGGGCACTGCCCCGTCTGAGGAGAAGCCCCTGCGAGGCTTCAGGCAGTGAGGGACATGGCGCAATGCTCCCTGGTGTGTGGCTAGACATTCTGGTTTGCCATGGAAACCAGACATCCAGACTTTCAGACTAATTCAGAATCTCTTCCCAAGCACTGTGTTGGGCCAATACTTCAGGGCAGACAAACATGTCTGCCAATCAAATCCAGCCCAAGCGCAGCCTGTTTGCCCCTTCAGATGTAAAACTGAATGGTTTTCCTTGGAAATTTTTACCATCTAGTTGAGATAATAAGATATGCTCTTTAGTTCAACAGAAAAACTAAAAGACCATGTGGTGGGTGAAACTGTGCCCCCTAAAAAATAATATATTGAAGACTTAACACCCAGTACCTTAGAATATGACTTTATTTGGAAATAGGATTGTTGTAGATGTAATTATTTAAGTTAAAATGAATTCATACTGGAGTAGGGTAGGCCCCTAATCCAATACGACTTGTGTCCTTAATAAACAAACAAACACCCTGTGAAGAGATAGAGACACACAGGAGAAACCCAGCTGACCATGAAGGGAGAGAGATTAGAGCGATACAGCTGTGAGCCAAGGACCGCCAGCAAACCACCAGAAACCAGTAAGAGGCAAGGAAGGCATCTCCTTAGGTGTCATAGGGAGCACAGCCATGCAGACGCACCTTGATTTTGGACTTCTAGCCTCTGGAATCATGACACAATAAATGTCTGCTCTCTTAAGCCACTGAGTTTGTTGTAGTTTGTAAGGGCAGCCCTAGGAAACCAATACAGACCACATGAGCGATAAGCACACCATGTCACCTATTCACCCTCTACTGGAAACATGAACCTGGGAATCATTAGTATACAGAGATAATATTGGTGATGTGAGTAGAAAGTTAGCATGTCCCAAAGGGAAAAGCAAAGAAATCTTCATGGAGGAGGTGGCATGTGTCTGGGGGCTTTGAAGCAAGAAATTTTGACAGGAAGTGAAAAGAGCATCCCAGATTGAGGAAAACCCATTCACAAATGGGCTATGATTACATTGGAGACAAGTTTAGGGGAAAGTAATTCCATGTGAATGAATGCAGAATGATGTTGCATCTTCTCGTTCATTCATCCTTTGCCTATTTTTCCTCAAGCATTAATAATAAAATAATCTATATATATAAAAGCCCAGTGACCGAACAGCAGAACAACCAGAACGACTGGTTGACCAGTCCCTATGACACGCACTAACCACCAGGGGGCAGACACTCAATGCAGGAGCTGGCCCCTGGTGGTCACTGCACTCCCACAGTGGGAGCGCCACTCGGCTGACTGGGATGAGCAGTGGGAGCAGCCGCTAGCAGGCCAGGGTGAGGCCGAGTCTCTGCACCTATCAAATACCTGAGACAATCCAGACTCTGGCCTGACCCCACCAGCTCATGCAGGCCCTCTAAGGTGTGTTCTAGAAAGAGCGCGGGGAGCTGGCATAGGCGGATGGCAAGAGGGGACGTGACTGTGGACCCCCCAGAGAGGCTGCCCTGATGGCTGAGGATCCTGGAACACGGCTGCCCTGAACATCCCTGATGGTGTCACCGACCTGGCATCACACATCAAGGACATTCACTGAGTGGCTTTGGGGTGCAAAGCTCTCTGCCAGGTCCCTCCAGAACACAGAACATGCCTTTACCCGAGACATTACCCTGAAATACCATCTCAGACTAATTTCATCATTCAGCAGCCGCTCAGAGGGCAGGTCCATAGCCACTCAGCTGACTGGGATGAGCGGTGCTCCCACAGCGGGCCAATCCCTGCAGGCCACGCCCCCATCAGTGCACTGGGCCTCTAGTAATAAAAATAAATGCTTACTGAGCTTTTATTATATGCTCATATGAAAAGACCACCTTTAATCTTCACCCACCTACCTAAGTCTGAGTGACTTGCCCAGCTCATTCAGCTGACAGGCACAGCAGAGCCAGGGTTCAGGGCCGGCCCTGGGACTGCAGGGCCATGGCCCTCACTGCTCTAGTTAGTGCCTGACGCTGTCAGGGAGCCCCATGCAGGTCTGTGGTGGAGGGGCCCGGCAGCCATCAGAAGGCGCAGGTGACCAGGCTGCCGGTGAGAAGCTCCCCGGACTTTCCTCTGTGAAGGAGGGGAAATGTGCCCTCACCAAAGGCCAGCTGAGGAACAGGTCCTGCAGCTCCAGGGCGGAGGTGGGGCTGCTGACCTGCTGAACCAGGAAAAGGTCACCAAGCTGCTGGCTCTGACCTCGCCCAGAACAGCTGACTGCTCTTTCCCAAAAGGCAGTTTCCTGTTTCGTGGCTCCCACAGCAAACCCGGGGTCAAGAGCAGGCAACCGAAGCCTCAGCCTGGAAAATTTGCAGTGAAAGTGTCCGCTCCTCTAAGCGTTGTTCTCATTCCCATTATTTTCCATCAGAACGTTTAATGTCAGGAATTAGATTACTATTCCTGTCATGCCAGCCCATTTTAAAGGTAAAGAAACTGAGTCTCATAAATATGAAATGCTTCATTCAACACTTTCAGGTAATTTTGTGGCAAAGCCTATATTAGAACTCAGACCTCAGGACTCAGTTCCGCCTGTTTCCACAA